AGAATGTAGAAAAATAAAATATTATAGAAAATGAACCTACATTGACTGGTCTGTGACTGACATATGCTTTCAACCCTCCTCCTGTGTTAGGGTCTGCACCAACACGTTTTTGTTTTAAATGCTCAAAAGAACCACTTTAATTGGCTTTTTTGCATCAAGACTTTATGACTTTGTCAGGAACCTCTATTTCAACAAAATAAAAACAAAAAAATTAAATTGACTAAATTATAAAATGCTCTTTTTAAAATTATGGCACTTGTCGTGTTCATGTGAGATTAAGGAAATTCTCATTTTGCCATGTTTTTTTCCTGCACAAAAAACAACATCAGGTATGTCCAGACAAGTGAGATCAATTCAGTATAGATGTCTGTATGAGGGGTATACTGACAAAGAAAATCCCAGAAGCCCACTACAAAAACTACTATAAGTAATATTTTCATAGGTAATGAAGCCTAACAAGTTAACCTCGAGATGAGAACCAAACTGGATGATGGAGAACTGTTTTTAGTGTAATTTACCGCTGATTTAAGACACGGGTCAAAACCGACTTTTAACATAGTGGGTGTGTAGTAAAAGCTAACACAGGAGGAAGGTTAAACTTAGCTCAGAGTCTGGTCAAAGCTTTGCGGGTGATGTCTCTCAAGGATTAAAGCAGACGCTCTAACAGATGTGGGTTATGAAAAATAATAAACACCCTGCAGCCAATCAGCATCCAGTATTCACCTCAGCTACCTTTAAAAGGGTGTACTCATCCTTTATTACAGTTTTACAGACCTACTCAGCCTGATGAGCTTGATTAGAGCTGCTTTGTGGTCAGGATGATGAAGGTGAGGATGAAGAGGAGGCAGATGCTGGATGTGACATTTCCTGGCTGCTGTAAACACAGAGGAGGAGGAGGGGAGAAGAGGGGGCATCTGTGGCTGCCTTTCATCCCCCTCCTTCACCCTCTGTCCTCCACCAAACCCACCTGACGGAGAACAGAGTCCACCAGCAAACTGTCTCCATATCTGCCGCTGCACCAGCTGAGGCTGAGCGACGCCCCCCTGAGGCCCCCGAGAGCCCCTGCAGCACCACAGCTGTCCAGCTGCACACACACACATCAACACACAAACACACTCCTCCATTAGTCTGTTTAATGAGCAGGTTTACACACACACACCACACACACATGAGTAAGAGTGTCTCTGTTTTTGATGTGAAAGAGTCAAACTGATGAACACACAGACTTCAGGTCTAGAGAAGACTGGATCTCTTCTCTCTGTTGTGTCTGCAGGCGATGCAGCTGTGACATTTATTCAGCGGGATAAAAAACCGTGCTGCCCCCAGACTTTGCATCTTATCGTCCTCTGCGATCAGCCTGCAGGTCGCAGCGCCGCTCTGATCCTCAAACATGCAGCTGGAACATGCAAAAACACGGCCTGCAGCCGCCGCCGGCTCCCATATTCAAATCTGTGAAGCCACAGAGGTTTTTACTGTTAGAGACACAAACATGATCGTCAGTCTGTCGACAGGCTGCAGCACCACAGATCCTACCGACGGGGTTTGGGCCAAACAGACCTCTGAGAGCACGATGCTTCTCTGTCTCTAGTCTAATTTGTGAGTCTGAGTGAAGGTTTCTACGAGACTTTATGCTGCACTAAAGAGTACACTGACTATAAATGGTATTTTTTAGATAATCCACATCAGAACATTCATGAGGCTCATAGATACTTTGTGTTGGAGCATCTAAAAATAATAATAATGCATCAGATTTCATATAGCATTTTAACAGAGACCCTCAATGCACTTTACATTGGATACATCATTCATTCGCTCACACAGTCACACGTTCGTGGTGGTAAACTACCTTAGCCCACTACCACAGAACACTAACAATCATACTCCAGTGGAGGACACACACTGGGAGCAAGGTGGGTTGAGCATCTTGCCCAAGGACACAACGGACAGACTCGGGATAAGGAGGAATCTAACCGCCAACCTTCTGGTTATTGGATGACCACTCTACCTCCTGAGCTACTGTTGCATCTCCCTCTCTCCCCTCTCTAAACCAGCTCAGTCTTATCAGATGATTGTCTGGTTCTGTTCGAGGTTTCTGCCTGTTAAAGGAGGTTTTTCCTCTCTACTGTAACTTGATAAATAAATGGTGGTTGAAGATGAGATGACACAGTTTGCAGACTATCTGATCTGATCTTATCAATATTTCTCAGCTGTTTTCAGATCATACTTTACAGTTGGCATGTTGACACAGATCGTCCCTGCAGTGATTTTGTATATTGTGTATGAAAACATATAATTAAGTCATTTACTGTTCAGCTCATAAAGTCTCAGAGGAATGCAGAGCGTCTGCGGCAGCTTCATTATCATACCGACAAAGTGAGGAAAAAACCGCAATGGTTTTTATCATCATCTGTCTGTCTGTCTGTCTGTGGATCCAGACTGAAACTCTGTTTGTTTTCCATCTTTGGTTGTTTTCACTCTCTCCACTCAGCAGAGGTTAAAGGTCATCTCCTTCTGCCTCCATCCCCTCTCATTCTCCATGTAAATCAGCTCCACTGAGGCTCTAAATATAAATACTGATTTTCATATGAAAGCTATATCGCAGCAGTTTTAAGATCCGACCTTTGACCCCTGATCAGTCTGAACAAAAGCTGGACTCTGACGAGTAACAACAAACCTCCTCAGGGTCTGGAGAGTCCTTCAGCTGCATGAATCAGACCCAATGAATGAACCCTTCAGGCCTGATTTAATGGAAACAATCTTGTACACAGAACCTTATAAAATGAAGTAACAATGTTCGATTATTAAAATAAAACAAAGAGAGATGATTTACATTAAAAGAGCCGGCTCTTTTCAGTATAAACCATGTCTGCTTTAAACTCTGTTTTCAGAGGGAAGCTGGTCCCTCCTGTCTCCTCCTGTCCCGTCTGCAGGGTTTGGACTTTTATCTCACTAATAGAAGAAATCTGTCCATAAACACCAAGACTCAGGTCACGTACCCAGTTTTGAGCTGTACTAGTTTCCAAATCCCACAATTAAAAAAACCCAACATAAAATAACTTCAACTGACAAACAGAGCGATAGATTTCAAGAGTTGTGTTCAGGGGACCATGGTAAAGAAACTTCCTCTTTCAGCTCCACCCTGTGACTCGTGTAGGCTAGATTAAAAACCTGAATGGACAAACAGAGCGAAACAGGACTTCATGTCTAACACCAGGCTCTGTAGTTTTCATTTCTATCAGACAGTTTAACCTTCCTCCTGTGTTATCTTTTACTACACACCCCCTATGTTAAGGGTCGGTTTTGACCCGTGTATTAAATCAGCTATAAATTACACTAAAAACAATTCTTTATTATCCAATTTGGTTCTCATATCTAGGTTACCTTGTTAGGCTTCATTATCTATCAAAATATTGCTTGTAATAGTTTTTGTAGTGGTCCTCTGGGCCTTTCTTTGTCAGTATACCCCTCACACAGACATCCATACTAAATTGATCTTACATGTCTGGACATGCCCGACGTTGTTTTTTGTGCAGGGAAAAACATGGCAAAATGAGAATTTCCTTAATCTTACATGATTGTAAGAGAATCTGACTGTCAGTGTGATGCCTGACAGTGCACATATGATTTTAGCTTTTGCTCTAATTGTTAGATATTAATCTAACCGGGTCAACGGTGACCCTAACACAACAAGTGCCATAATTTTAATAAGAGCATTTCATGCTTTAGTCAATTTAATTTTTTTGTTTTTATTTTGTTGAAATAGAGGTTCCTGACTGAGTCAAAAAGTCTTGATGCAAATTAACTAATTTAAGTGGTTCTTTTTAACCCTCACATACTCTTCAAATCCTGTACCCTCACTGTACCTTCCGGGTCAAAATTGACCCAGACCAAGAATTGCCCATGTAGCAAGTATTTTCACCGAAGTTCTAACCCCAAACCTATTCATAATGTTTAAATGACCTATGCTACTTCAAAAAATTATTGATTAGTCCTTCCTAAATGTTTCAAAGAGCAGGGAAAGTGTATTTTTTCAGTTTTAACACCACTCGTTTTTTGGTGAAATACATTTTGGAGAAGAACATCTATTACATGGGATAATTCAATTCAATTCAATTCACTATAGCTTTATTCATTACCTAGGGGCAATTGAAAAGCATTAGCTGAGCAACAATTAAAATAGAATAGAGAAAAAGGAGAAAAAAGTATAAAATCAGTATAAACGTCATCAGTATAAACGTCATAAATATAATGTCATCTAATGTTATGTAAAACATAAAAAAATAAAAGTCAATGATTTGAATATATTTTTATGAACAACAAACTTCATATTGAACACTGTTCTCACTGTTTGTCACTGTTCTCACTGCTAGTCTCTGCATTCAAAGCAAAGGTAGGACACTTAACATGTGTGGATCTTGCACATGTTACGACTCCCACCGCCTCCCTCCCAATCAAACAGATTCCAATTTGTTACTTTGTACATTATATTGCAGGAGCAGGTGCACATGTTACATCTGTGTCAAGGCACACTCTGACCTCCGGATGACTTCTGTTGTTACTGTTTGTCACTTGTCCCACACTGCTAGCTCTAAAATCCATCTAAATATAGATACGGGTCAAATTTGACCCGTAAGAGCCTTAGAGGGGAAAAATGTGTAGCACATAAACAAAAATACACATGAATATTTTTAAATTAATTTCATGTATTTTGGGCAACTTCAGGAAAAGTCATCAAGTTTCAGGCTTAAAAAATGATGTTTGGGGTATTTTTACTGCTGTTAAAAGTCAAAACGGGTCAAATTTGACCCGAAGAGAATGTAAGGGTTAAAAAACATTTAAAAATGTGAAACATTTAAGCATTTAAAAAAAAACGGGTCGGTGCAGACCCTAACATGGGAGGAGGGTCAGCAGGAGGAAAATCTGATCGAACTGTCAGGTTTGATTTTTAGTTAGAAGAGCCGAATCAAATGGTCTGATCACAAAAGCGATATGAACTCCCCATCATCACCGAGGAAGAGTCAGAATTCACCTGCTGTGTGGCCTACAGGTTAGCGGCTCCCCAACAGGAGTCTCAGTAGCCAATCAGCTCTCTTCAAGAGTTGACTGACAGTAGCGAGAGCCAATGAGCGCTCAGCTCGGAGCAGAGCGGCTCTTTAAGAATCACAGAGAGTCACAAACTGCTCAGACTGAACAGGATCAGGTTGAGGTTCTCAATCTGGACTTATCCCCGTCCCTCAGCAAACATGAAAGCCGGCAGTCCGGTGCTGTCAGCGGACAGGAGGAGTAGAGGCAGCCGGGAGCAGAGGTCGTCTCTACGGGGCTTCTCCTGGAATAAGAGTCTAGGATTATCGGTGGAGGAGGGTGAGGAGGTCCCGGTGCTCCTGCTGCAGAACATGAACCTGTGTTACCGGCTGCTGCGAAGGCTCGTACCCGGTCTACCGCCCGGACGCGCCGCTAGCAGGGTGGAGATCCTGCAGCGGGTCATCGACTACATCCTAGAGCTGCAGACCGAGCTAGATGCGACCTGCCCGGACACAGAGAGACCGGAGACCAGAGGAACACACACATACTCACACACACTCACACACACACCTGCCAGGTAAGATACAGAGAGAGCACAGTGTCTGTTATCAGTTCATGATGAGATTTAATATTCACTCTATATTGGTAATAAATATATGAATTATGATAGAAATTTGTGCCAACTCCAGAAGAGAGTTTGTTGCTGAGTAAATATGACTTCTAGCCTACTGAGGACTTTGTTTTGGTGTTTTGGTGCAAAAATTATCAACCCAACAATGAAACAGAAGTAAATATGAAAAATAAAATAATGTTTAACATCAGTTCCACAGTCAAAAACTGTTAGCTAAATGAAATAAAATTGTTGAAAATAATATTTACCCATGAAAACTGAACCTGAACAAATTCATAGCCTTAAAAATTGCACACAGAGCTTTAAATTTGTGCAACATGAAGGCGAGTGCAAATTTTTATCAGCACAAGTGACAAACTAACAGATAACTTTTAGGCCCAGAGTGTGTAAACTTTGAAAATAGTAAATATACTAAGGGCTAACTGATTTTGTTTTTTCAGGGCCGATACTGAGACCGATAGTTAGAAAGTGATAAGACCGATATCAATACTATGAGCAGATATGCATTTACAATGAAAATAATGATTTCTGTATGAATTAAGAATTTGAAATATGATAAACTGAACACAAACTTTGCTCAAATATTTCTTACAAATGTTTGATTAAAACTGAAGCTTTTATTTTCATATAGCAAAGTTTTTTTTTTCCACAAAAACCTGAAAAACATAAAAAAGTCCAATTATCAGCCCTGTCAAGATTATCAGTGTTTTATCCATTTAATGCCTGAAACCACAAATTATGGCCAGAAAATTCAAATTTTTTTGGAGCTGAAAACCAAAACTATCAAAATGTCATTAAAATTTAACAAATATATTTATTTATTCTGTTTGTATTCCTGTTTTTTTTTTTTTAGTAATTTGTTGATCATATTGATTTGATAGAGGTATCATAAAGTACGTGTCAAATATGATACGAAAGGCATCAAAGGGTTATCTTAAAGAACTCTTAATTTTTTTTCTCTTGCAGACATTTGAATTGAAGACTGACTGAAGATGGACTGACTTCACCTGCTTTATAAAAGGTTCCACCTCGAGGACTCAGCAGATCGACTTCTTCTCTCTGTGACAAAGTTGAACTTGCTTAAAAGAAGTAAAACCAGCAGGAAGGAGGAACACCAAACTCCTATACCTTTTCAGTAAGGTCTAAAAAATGTTGTTCTATGTTTTTTTGTAGAGACTCAGCCTGTTTGGAGGATCTGGTCTGAATGAGGATCTGGTTTGAATTGATGTTTTGATTTTGTTCAAATACTTGACCCATGTTTAACCTGAAGGCTTAAAATCCACATTTTTTATACTAAGTCTGGTTTGGACTCATTTCACCAACATGTTTGAAAAATAAGAACTTAAAAAAAATCTTGTTCACTGTTGTGAATTACCTTTTACATTGTGTGGCAGTATCTGTGTCCAAATGGACTTGAAGCACTTGCTGCTGTTGTTTTTTTTTTAATCTTATTTCTTGTCTAGATTTTTGCATGTGTTGTTGTTGTATGTACGTCACTTTAAATAAAAGTGTCTGCTAAATGGCACTGTAATATTATAACATTCTAAATCTTTCTTTAAGAGGAAAGTATCTTCAAAATAAAAGTTAAAATGTTCTTCAAACTTATCGGGATTATGTTGGTTATTTGGTTTTAAGTTGTATTAATGTGGGAGTTTACATTTTATGTTTTCAAGTTTTGTCAGATGGAAAATGAAACACTCTTAAAATATGTTTTATCGCACTGAGAGAATGAAAAGTAAAATTTAGAAATGTCCTTAACCACAGGAGCTTCTGTTCATGGTTTGTTTTGAAAACTCTGGACGAGGTTACATTTTATTGTAAAATTATTTTGAAATATCATAAAAGGTTTTGAATGATTTTAATTTTAGTTGTTCAAACACCTTTAAACAAGAAAACTTGTGTGAAAAAAAAATCAAATCGAACCATGTTGGGTTAATAATTTTAAGGTTTTTCTCAAAGAACCACAAAAACTGATTCAATGCATTAAAACAATTCATAGTGAAAGAGAAGAAAACCCTCATGTAATTTGAGGACAAATGTTGCCTCCTGGTGGTAGGAGATATAAACTACAGCCACTTTTTCTTGAGAAGCTCCTGGAGGATGTTTTGATGTAAAATCACATATTATGTTTTTGGTCATGTTTGCTACACTATTAATTCACAACTTTGACATAAGATCAAAGTTTTCTGCAGTTCAGGATGTCCGTATTTAGGGGAGATCACCATCTGCCCTAATAAGAATAATGGAGTTGTTTATTTTTAAGAGGAAAAATTCAACAGCTTTGATACCCCGAACATCACTTGTTAGTTCTGATTCCTTGACAAGTTTTAAATGCCTGATAAAACTCTCAGAGATACATTTGTTTTTCAGCCTTTTAACTGTAATTTTATCATTATTTTGGAGCTGCGAGCATAATTACTGAACAGTGCAGCTTCACTCAGATTGGTGAGGACCTATATACCTCTGGAACTAGTAAAGAAGAGTTTAATACCGGCTGTTGACTATAAGAGAAAGTCGAGATGTCGTTTATTCATAAAAACTGTCATATGAAAATTAAAGTGTTACGGTATAGAAATGATAGTAAATGAAGATTATGATCATTTTAAAATAGTAAACACACTTTGATATTAAAAATCATAAATATTTTTTATGTCTGTAGGAGGTTAAATTAACTTTTTTAGATATTTGTGTTAGAACTGTCACACTTTCCACGTCTCAATGAAGTTTATGTGGTGTGTCACTGCAAACCAACCACTAAAAGTGTTTAAAAATGAATAAGTCAGAAACCATCAACACTTAACATCCAGACTTTATTTCTTTTAGTTCCTTCAACAAATTAAATTCACTTTTGAAGAGTTAGAGAGCACTGAGACCATCAAATACTAAAACATCAACATGCAGATTTACAGATGACACCTGAACACACCATCTGATCTGATACTGAGAACAATCTGACACTTTTTAAAAATGTTTCAAACTAAAATGTGACATTTTTTTTTCATCATTCTGATTTTGTTGCTGTCTAAAATCTTCCCTTCTTAATTTTTTTGGTTTTTAAATTTGAGTGAATATTTTCAGTCAAAAGTCCTAATTTCAAATGTGCTGACTTCTTCAGACTAAAAAGAGGTTAACCGACACATTCTATGGTTTCAGTCGGTTAAAACTTTAAAATAAAAGCCTTCAGTCCTCAGTATCAGCTCTGATCTGTTTTACGACACTTAAACACGATCACAAATTTGTTCGTTCAGCTCCTGAAAAGTTAAAATTACTTTATTTTTCTACACACAAACACTGTGAACTGATACAAGTTAATACTGATCAAAAAGCAAAGTTTCCACACCCTCAGCACTCTTTCAGATTTCACTTTTATGTTTTCTTTTTCCTTTGAAATTTTAGGCACCCTTTTCTTCAGATTTAAAGTTTGTTTCTTTTAAATTATCAAGCAATTTCAGCAAAAATCTAAATTATCTTCATAGTCATACAAGGCAAAGTTTTGTTTTTGTTTTAACAAACTGGAGTGTCAGGGTTTCAGTCAGATTTTAAGAGTTTAAAAAATGATTTTACAGTAACAGTAGCAGCTTTTTATGTCCAAAGAAGGTTAACTATCCAGTGAATCTTTCTTAAAATCAGAGCTGAGTGTGTAAGAAACTGTAGCAGCACATCACGGCCTCCAGAACAACAAACCTCGTTATTTTTTTAAAATCAATTAAAAAATAAACAGATGGTGAGGTAAAAGTTTAAAGAAATGACATTCATTAACTGCCTCTAGTGTTGCCTTCTATGTATATAAATTATACAGTAGATCTGCTGTTAAAAACTTTAAGGTCTGTCCCATTTTTGGACTTTTATTTTGAAAAACCTCCATGTCAGTTTTCTTACTGCAGTATTTCTTTCTCTAGAGTTGCTTAATTTTATTTTTACTGCATGTTTTCTTTTTATGATATTTCAGCTGTGAAGCACAACTTGTTAAAACTACAAAGACAAATGTTAGTTTTTCAGGTTCAGTGCCTCTATCAGCCACAGGAGGGCGCTGATAAAACCTTTATTCCTTACATTAAACTGAATCACAAGCTGAGCCCTACACTTTGTAAAATTTAATACTTAACATTAAACTACACAGAGAACTGTCTTACTGTCATCTAGACTGCAGTTAGAGTTATCAGTCACTAAGGGGCAGAGTGAAATCACACAAATGTTCCCCGAAAATTACATTTACTTGTTTTTCTTAATCAGATTTGTTTCCCTGTTAAAACTATTTAAATCAGAATATGCAGATAGTAAAAAGTTCTAGGATCTGGTTCAGACAGAAACTGTTCACATTTGTAGGTGACAAATAAAGTGAATTAGGTTTTAAGTGTTTTTAAGTTTAAATTTCTGGAGGCGACAAATCACAACAACAACAACGACAACAGCTGCATGCAGCTTCACCAAGTTAGCATACGTTTCTATTGAAGGTTTTCTATGGACTACATCTGTGAGCATGCAGCAAACTGAACACAGACTTACTGAGAATTACACCACAGGTAAAACTACGAGTCCACCTGCAGCTGCTCTTCATCTCTCAAAGGCAACAAAATCTTCTTACTCACCATTGTATTGACTTATAAAAGTAATGGGACTCATCAAAAGTTTGCCAAAAAGCTTTTGAACCCATAATTTTTTTTCTCCCTCCACATTTTAACCCCATCCCCAATTTTTTGAACTCCCTAACACAGTTTTTTGTCTCATCAAACCATTTTTTACTTTTCATCATTTTTCGGCTGCACCAAAAGCCAAACATTTTTTAAGTGCACCTGACAATTTTCTGGAATTGCAAGAAGCTTTTGAGGATCTGCCAAAAATGTTCAATCTTAATAAACTTTTCTTCAAACTTACTAACATTTTTTGAACACAAAAAATTTTGGGGGGGGACTTGCCAAACATGTTTTAGACTGGTACAACGTTTTCACCAGCAAAAAGTTTTTGAACCAATCAAACTTTTCTCAGACTTGCCAAAAACTCAGTGACTCACCAAATATTTTTTAACTGGCTGGAATTTTTTGACCCTTTTTTAACTTGTCAAACATTTTTAGATGAGCCACATGTTTTAAACTTTAAAAATAATACTTGAACATTTTTTATACCTGCCAATCAGTTTTCAATGCACCCAAAAATTTTCAAAAGGTTTCCAAGTATTGATTTGATTGGTCAAACTTTGAGGTTGAAGGCGGCTCCAAGTGAACTCTCAGTGCTCTCCTGATCGTTGAGGTGATAGTGACATTACAGGATGCTCTCCCGCTCCTCGCCAAAGGTGACGGTGTCTGAGGACACGGTGCAGATCTCTGGCGGGTCTCCAGGTTTCAGGCCCCTCTTCAGGTGGACCACTCGGACGTTCTCGTTGTTCGGACCCGGGCGGGTCCCGGTGGAGGTGGTGCTGGTGCTGGAGGTGGTCCCAGAGCTTGGGGAGATGATGGCGTCACTGGAGGAAGAGGAGGAGGAGGTAGGGTTGCAGGAGGAGGAGGTGGAGCCCTCTGCAGGTGGGCGGGGGCGGTTTCCCTGCTGGGCGTTGGTATTGTTGTTGAGCGTGACGTTGCTGGGCGTGCGGTTCAGGTTGAAGGACTTGGAGGAGGGCCAGCTCTCCTCAGGGCTGCTGGCGAGCAGGCTGCACTGGTCCTCGGAGCAGATGGACATCCGGGCCACGGTGGGGTCCTGCAGGCCGCTGAGGCTGCTGGGAAGGCCTCTCTTCCTGGCCTGGCTCTCCTCATCCAGCTCAATCAGGTTGGCTCTCTCCAGCTGGGACAGGTCTGCCTCCTCGTCCTGCAGTGAGTGATTTGGCGAACTCTCGTTGGAGCGGACCCCTGAGTCAGATGAGTCCTTCTTGTCCAACATGGCGTCTGAAAGGTAGTCTTTCCCCTTCAGTGCCAGCGAGCCCCCGGGCAGTTTGGGGTCGACGGGCTTCTTCCCATCCTTGAGCAGCGGGGCATTATCGGACTCCTCAGACTCTTCGTCATCACTGGTCAGCTTCTGGTAACGCAGCCCGCCTGCAGCCTTCAGCTTCAGGTCGGCGGCGCCTTGAAACAGCCCGCCTCTCTCAGCTGAGGTCTTACGGGTCAGTAGGGACTTGGACGACCCGTGTTCTCCCTTCTCGTCCTCCTCAGTGATCGGATCCAGACCATCGCCATTGGAGGTGAAGTCGGTGTTGTCAGTCGCTGGTTTGCTGCTACTCCTTTTGTTGTAGGACTTGCGAGCATCCTGCTCGCCGCCATCTTTGTTCTTGTCCTCTGATGATGAGGATGATGTCATAAACTGTCCTGGCTGTGGCTGGACAGGTCGCTCCCCGCTTCCTCCGCCCATCTCCAGCTGAGCCATCTGCGCGATATACTCCTGGTAGGCGTTGCGGTACTCGGCCTGTTGCTTGTCGGTCAGCTTGCCGATGTCGTTAGATGACTCCTGAGAGTTTAGACTTGTCATGCTGGCAGTCCTGTGAGCGCCACCCTGAGGACACACAGAGAACAGCAGCAGAACATTTAAAGACAGACTGAGAATGTTACTTACAGATCATCTCAACTGTCTTTATTTCTAAAGTCAGTGTAGTTTACCATCCACTGTATGTTTCCATGGCGCGCCGTTTCATCCAGTCCCACGTTGCTAAGCTCTTCAAAGCTCAGGTTGAAGCTGTACATCGGTGAGGCGTCGGTGTTGGCAGCGCCGGCAAGAGGCGGGGCCACAGCTCGCCTCCCTGCTTCACTGTGACCGCCCACCACACTGCCTTGCTCACTGGCGGCTTCCTCCTGCAGCACCTGACTCTCTATGAGGCGCATGTCCAGAACCTGTGAACAAGTGGAGGAGAAGATGACGGGTGTTACAGCTCACCTGAAACTGTTAGACATACAGAGATAAAACTGAAGTCGGCCATGTTTTGTGGACTGACCGTGGCTCTGAAGAGCTGCCAGTCTCCAAAGTTCATGCTCATCTCTTTCTTCAGCTCGTCGATGTTACACTGAGACAAAACTCGGCCATTAACATTCGCCTGAGGGCAGAAACAAAAACCTGTTACTGGATTTACTCTGGTAACTATCATACCTACGTGGAGGAGTCAAATTGTGCAGTCACTGACCTTCCTAATGGTGGCGCTGTACTGTCCCATCATGCTCTGATCAATGCCTTCAATCTGCCGCACCCGCTCACAGACAGATTCCGTCGTCATGGAGCTGAGGAGGATGGAGGGAACACCCGACACAACGGAGGCCGGACCCTGAACACAAAAGTTTGAAGGTTTGATTCCTACAAATTAAAGCTTTTAAAGTCGAGTTTAAGTTCAACAGTTTTTAAGATTTCAGGTGTAAACTCTCCGGGAGGCGGATTAACTCTCAGCTACTAAGACACAGAAAACATCATCAGGCAGAAATCACACCAGTCTATCAGGTTATAAAGATATTAGTGATGTTTCTATTCTACAGTTAGTGCAGACGGCCCGTTTGTCCAAAAGTAATCTGATCAGATTAAAACAAGATCAGGTTCTGAAATCAGATTAGATCAGGTAATATGACACAGGAACTTAAGAGAAGAAAATATCTAACCTTTATAATAAAGTGATAATGGTTTTTTAAGGCTGATAGAAGCTCTTAACTGGTCAAAACAAAGCAACATTTTAACAATTACACTTATTTTGCTTTTAAACTATTGAATCTTTTCTGACACAATTGACAAAGAATTTATAAAACTAATCTGGGCAAAATACCGAACTATCTTTCCTCCCTTTGAACCCTAAAAGACAGTGTTTACAGCCGTCATTTGATGGATGTTGGGCAATTTGTAGTCTGAGCTGGGAGGGAAAGCTTCAAGGATTTTTGGACATTTTTCTGGAAGACTCGACTGGTTTTAAACTGCAGAACTGAGTCAGTATGAGTTTAAATACTTGTTGAAACTTTATGTTGCTTGTGAAACATTTAATGAACTTTGGTTTGGGTCTCCTTTCTTTGTTTAACACTCAAACTTGTTGCAGTTTGGCATTATTGGTTAAAAAGCTTTAAAAGAGCTTTTAAATCCCTTAATAAAAACTGAAATAATAAACTGTAAACATTTCGCACATATTTTGTGTCATATGGTTGCTGTTTTTTTTAAACTGATGTTTCTCTACAGTGAGCAGGAGGGGACACTGTGGGACACCTGGGTGATGTGGAGGGAGGGGTCACAGGTGAGGAGGTGGTGGTAGAGGAGGCTAAGAAAGACAGTAGAGGGATTTTAAGGGAGGTAAAAGGGTCAAAGGTCAAACCAAACGTTTCATTAAAACAAAGAGGCCAGCAGGCGTCTTCTCTACATAAGCTACAGGCTAGACTGGGCAGACAAGTTGCATGCTGGGAAGTGTGGTTTGTCGAGCAAGGGCAAAGGGAAGAAAGTAAGGAAGGAAAGAGGTGATGCTGGAGAGAGTTCAATACCTGCTTCCTTTTTAAAGATGAGACCTTATACTGCAGACAGACATAAGGACAGACATAAGGACAGACAAGACAGACAGACACACAGGTAGACAAGCAGACAGGTGAGGAATGATACACGGCTAGAGAGAAACATCTGGAAAACACAGGTGACTTAAGGGCAGAGCAGGAAGGAGATGTTTTTTTCAGTTCTGAAGAAGAAGAAGACACCAGAAATGTACCCTTAGGCAATAAGAACACAGTTCAAAACCACAGAAGAAAGAGAAGAAGAAGAAGAAGAAGAAGAAGACGAAGGAGAAGAGTTGGTCTCACCTTTTTGTCAAAAACAGCAGGAGAAGAAAAGGAGTGAGAAACTAAAAGCTGGTGGTAATTCAAAGCTTTAAAAATAGAAATTATAGAAATAAGCAGCAGAGTCTTTACTGGGGTTAGGGGGCAGAACTACATACGCTCATTAGTGCCAGATAAATAAATAAATAAAATACATGTCTAATGTTAGTGGTTAAAAAGTGGTCTTTTCTGATTCAAACTTCACAAACTTTAAAGTTTACTTATAAAAATTTAATTTAGCCAAGTAAAACTAAATTTAGTGGTAGTATGTCCACAACAGTTTGTTAAATTATGAATCTTGATGAGAATGTTTTATTTATTTTTATAATGAATCAAATGTTTTAACCTTCACGTTGACCTACAAGTGGTCTCTGATTCAGTCAAATGTCCCATTTTGTGTCTCCAGATGCAACTGGTTATGCAATTATCTGACAGAACTCAAGCGATGGCTGCAGATGATGTAAAGTCATTCTTTATGGAGGGAGTACCCCAGGGATCTATGCTTGGACCACTTCTATACTTACTATACAGTTTAAAATAACATTTTACATTGAATCTTTATGCAGATGATATGATAATATAATCCTCTGCCCTGTCAACCAGTGACGTTCTTTTGAAGTGCAGACTGATTTTGACTCATTTCAACAAGCTCTGTTTGGTGTTTGTCTGATGCTGAACTCCTCAAAATCTAAGTATATAAAAGCTTTTCTCAGACAGAACTTACTTAAAGTCCTTTTCATATTTTATCTACTTTTACTTTTTAACTTTCTCAGCGCAGTTTTGCAGTCATACAATACATAAATAATCAAGACCCTTGTGTAATATTCACAAAATATTTTTTAAAAATTGCTCAACACCATTAAGGAAGAGCGCAATTGTATGAAATCTCTACATGAAACACAACAATTTCATGTTTCAGTTTACATCTTAGACATGCTTTCTTTGCTCAAAGGTAGTCACCTATTTTTTATTCAAGTTATTTCTTTATAAAATCTTTGATTTTATCTGTACTTATCTTTGCATATTTTTCTCTGGGGTTTGCTTGTGAATAATACTAATGATTTATGAGTTTATTCATGTATTTAAAATGTAACTTTGAAAGTTTGTTCATCCTCTAATTTTACCTTTTAATCATCTGATATTATGTTCTTCATAAAGACGATAAAAGAAGGTAACACAATGAGAAAAAAAAAACAGCGTGATCTTCGTGGAAAAACTCTGATTATTGATTTAATCAGCCGTTATGAACCTTCCATGAACTCAGGCTGAGGCGTGATGTACTCACAGGTGCGACGGTGTCCCGACTGAAGGAGCTTTTGCGTGGAGGGCGTGGATGGAGGTATGATGTGTAGGAGGGAGCCACGAGGGGGCGTGGCAGCTGGTAAAGGTGTTGGGGGAAATATGGCTGAAGGTAGGAGGGGCAGAAAATCAAAATAATGTTCATGGAGATGGTTTTACGTGAAACAATGAAAAGGAGGCAACTTAAAAACAGTTGGATCAGACAGTGAATCCCTGCTGGAGGTTTGATTTACCGTAACTGAAGGAATAAATAAGTTTTGGTTTATTTAAGGAACTGATTGAATGTTTTGATGACAGTATGATCATTTAAATCAAAGGCTCCAAACCAAGCAGTAAATTTGGTCAGTTATTATGTGATCGACACGGTGAAAGAAACAGAGTGCAAATTAAGGACAAGCTTTTTTTTGATTGTCTTCAATGTATCATTTTTTTTTATATCTACACCAAGCTGTCTCTTTCAGGAGCAAAAAATACTAGACGACACAGTCCAAAAACTGCAGTTCTTTAAGTGTCCACTAGAGGCTATGTCACAAAGTGAGTAAATTCTCATTGAACTTCATGTTAAAATGTCAACTTAAGCAGAAATTTTACTGCTAATTTCATGGATATGAGAACGCAGGAATCTGCCTCAAAAGAACCATATAACCAGAGTTTTAAATGACTGCGTTTTAATTGGTTGTTGAAGTCACAGTAGAGATTCACTGTAAACACAGACCGACAACACAGAGCAACAAAAAAACACAAATGAAAAAAAAAAAGGTGAAACTTGACCAGGTGAGCTGCTGTGTCCTGACGTCACAGCCTTACCTACCACACAGCCAACCAGGAGAGTCCCCATCCAGTCTGAGACTAGGTTTTAGACTTTAATGTGGATTGACCCGTCACTGTGAATGACATCAGCAGCCTGTGGGCGGGGCCTGTACTCACCCTGTTGTAGAAGGGGTGCTGTGGTCCAGCCATGCCGCTATAGTAGCTGCTGTGAGGCTGCGGGGACACCACGCCACCTGCTGGCTGGTTAAATGGCCCGCTGAAGGAGGCTGAGGGAGAGCACGTCGATGACACCTGAGAGTACATGGAGGTGGGGCGGGGCTGAGGCTCCTGCAGGGGGAGGGGTGGGTATGAAACCCCGCCCATATTCATCTGCTCCCGGGCAGCTCGCACATCTGGATCAGAGAAAACATCAGTGTAGTATCAGAGAAATTACGGCGCCAGTATAAATGATGATCTGAGCTCTGAAAACTTTTGTTCCAATCTTTACACCAGTTGTACTTGTGTAAAGATTCTCCTGAGATTACAGCAGTTTTTGTTACAGTATTATGTGTGTTTTTGGTACTTTTTTACAGTATAAATACTCACTATGATCTCTGAGTCTGGTGCTCTATTATTACCAGTAAAAGCATCTACTGAGACACTCTTCCTTAGATTAAAGCAGTGTTTGCAGTAGTTGTAGTACTTTTTGCAGTATAATTACCTGCTATGATCTCCCTCAGCTTAGGGTCCAGGTTGACGGTACAGGGTAGGAACGTGCGGATGTCTCTGGCGTTGAGGACGGGTGTTCTGGACGACAGGAAGACCTCAAAGCTGCGGACGTCTCCATCGATCTCCAGCAGTGGCTCCACGTCTTTAGTTGTCGGGATGTTTTTGGAAACCCTGAAACAGAATCACAGAGGAGACACACTGACGGTCTGCTCCATGTTTCAGGTTTACGATGTTATTTGTGTTACAGTTCAATGTGTTTTTAACTCTGAGGGCGACCTCTGACCTCTCGTAGATGCTCTTCAGTGTGGCCTGGTCTGGGACTCCATCAGTCTCCTCCAGGTACAGAATGAGCCAAGATGTCCTGTAGGGCCACTGCTCCGTCAGGTTGATCCAGGACGCTAGGCGGTCCCAGTTGAAGCTGATCTGATTGGCCCGCAGCAGACGACCTGGAAAGAGGAGATGTTTCTACTCTGGACACTCATCCTGCTGAGGTTGGAGTTCATGATCTAAGAGAGTCCGAGACTTTGATGATCTTTTTAATGAAGTACCAGAAAATATGTTCATCTGGCCCCGCCTCTACTGGTGATCAGATATGATATTTATCCAGTGTTTGGTTAATCTCTGACCTGTGACTGAGACAATGTTGAGCAGCCTCCTCATGGTCTGCGGGCTGATGTCGCTGAACCAATCCTCTGTCACCATCAGCTTTGTCAGGTCAAACGACATCTGGCGGGTCACCGAGCGCTGCACCTGACGCCGCCGGTATGTGTCCTGGAGGCACAGGTCACATGATCAAAGAATTAAAAACCATTGACTGACTTCTGTGTTTGACTTAAAATTCTCATTCTGTCCTTAAATGTATAAAAAATATTTTTAATTAACTGATCTGCTGCAAGAAGAAAATTAAAAAAAAAAAAAAAGAAAACTCCTGAGGAGAAACACAGCAGCTGCTTTTATTTAATCGAACAAAAACACACAAGAGATGGTGATAAATTCATCTCACACACACAAACACACACTTACCCTGCGGTTCAGCGTGGTCTTGCTGCCAAACTTGGTCAACTCTCCCAAACTGTGCTGAGACAGTTTTCTGTCTAGTTCCTCGTGCCAACCTGCACACACACACACACACACACACACACACACACACACACACACACACACACAGATATAAAATTTGTACTGTTATTATTTTATTATTCATTATTCAGTCAGTTTGCATTAAAAAAGCAAACCAAGAATCAGTGAGATCACTGATTTTTAGTTACTGTTTAAAGCCTTAAGTTTGATTTTTTTCTGCCTTTATCTGAATATCAAAACCAGAAATGACCATGTTTGGGCAAGAGGCGGAGCTCAAGTGCAAGGAGGGGTTGACAAAAAGGTATCTATCTTTATTCATAAATAAATTTACTCTAGAGAATGTTAAACATCTTCAGTTCAGGGGAAAGTCATAACTGATGAACAGTGGAAGTGATAGAAGTTTGAACAAACTTTGTTTAAGAAATTCTTGGTCAGTTCAGATGTAAATTTTTGCTGACTTACAACAGACAACAAATATTCTGAACAGAAAAATAAACAATGGTCTCCTCAGAATGTCTTTACATACAACTGAATATAAGACAAGATATTTACTGAACCTTTTCATCAACCTGAGGTGCCCTCTGTCTTATTTCTGGTCTCTATGATTTTAAACAGGACCGTACGTTACTAAGCAAATATCACACTGGAGTAGAGAATTGAAACTACAGTTTGAGTTATCAGTCGCTCCCTGCTGGACGTTAGAGAGAAAGTGGAAGCCCAGCACACATTATTTAGCAAACCTTAACTTATCTATTAATGTAGCATCATTGCCATGGTTACCATCTGTGTTGGCGGCCTCCCCGTTAGCCGGCGCGGCGGCACACATCTTCTTGGCGCTGGAGAGTCCTCTGCTGTTGAGGAAGACGGGCAGGTGGACGATGTTCCTCATGTAGTCGTGTCCGTTAATGTTGGAGTCTCGCAGCACGCTGTTCAGGTTCTGGTTGATGGCCTTGATGATGATGTGTGGGTCGCTGGCAAAGATGGAGATGAAGGGGCCTTTGGAGAAGAGCACCCGTACCTGAAGGACGAACAAACACAAACGACTGAGTGACCCGCCTAGGACACGCCTACAGCCCATTTCTCCTGATCAATATCTAAAACCCCACAGAGCCTTGGAAAGCCAGACTCCTCTGAATCAGTTTTTAAAGAAGCTGTATAAGTTTTTCCATCAACATCTCCTAACCGTGTCGAGCATCTGCAGCACTTTGTCCTGCTCACAGGAGTCCAGACCGTCAATGACGACCGCCAGCCTCGTCTGATGCTGGGTGAATCCATCGATGGTCTTCGCCATCCTCGCCATAAGCTCCACCTCATTCTTCAGCACCTGAGAGACAACATCACGATTTGTCACATGATCTGAATCACCTTCAAAATAAAAGCCCCCAACTCTCCCCAGCCCCAGCAATAAAATAAAAGCCCCCACACTCCCCTATCCTACCTTCAAAATAAAAGCCCCCTAACTCTCCCGGGTCTCACCTTCATGAAGCCCTCGCTCTTCAGCTTGTGCATCCTGTTGGCGGCGCTGTGGAGCCTCTTCCTCTGAGAGTTCAGCACTGAATCTGTCACCTGCCACCACGTCCTGACGTTCAGCAGCAGAGCGAGGCCAACCACACTGGCGATGGCGATGAGCACGGCGTTTACCGTGCGGTTCTCCCCGTCCACCTTAAAGACGGCGAGCAGCGCCATGCCAGTGAGCAGGCAGGTGAGCACGAAGGTGAAGAGGATGAAGGACGGGATGCAACATGTCTTCTTCCACTTCTTTTTACCTGCAGACACACAAAAGAGGAGGAGCTCAGACAGTGTGTGTGTGTGTGTGTGTTTCAGAGTGTGTGTGAGTTTGCATTCGCACATGTGTTACCCTGTGTCTCCTCCGTTTTAAAGACTCTGAATAGACGCGTGGCGAGGAAGCCAAACTCCCTCTCACAGGCGTCAGAGAGCGTAGCAATCATCTCAGCCATCGACGTCTCTCCTCCGACACTCGACAGCCGATTATAGTCAGTAAACAGAAACCTGCAAAAAAGACACCGTCATCATCATGAAAGCGTGTCTGTGTTTTCTCCCTGAGTGCATTCCTGAAGGCGTCACTGTTACCTGACAGGCAGCGCTCGGGTACTCTGCTCCGGCAGCTCAGGCGGGTTCACGAACATCAGCCTGAGCAGCAGCTCCAGGTACCCAATGTGACGCGCCAGGCGGGTGCTGATGAGCCACGCCCAGTTCCAGCTCTCGCCCTCCCGACGTCCACCGAAGTACACCACCACTGAGGAAGGACAGAAAAATAAACTTTCAGATGACTTTGCTGGTGGAAGCTTCACTAAAATGCTTAGAAGAAGACAGACTCTAAATATGGCAGATGGAGGAAAATGGGTTGTTTCTCACCAAAGAAGAGGTACAGCAGGGCGAGCAGGCTGAGTGACACTGCCATGGCGAGCTTTGGGTCGACGGTGAAGCCAAGGACGACAGCGACGGAGCCGCAGAGTAGCACAGACAGGAAAACAACGAGCCAGGAAAACTGAAACAGTGGCTCGATCTGCTGCCCGGCAAACGTCTTCATCTCGTCTGAGCAGGTAGAGGAAATTCAGTATCTGATTTATAAATATATAAATATACGCGTGTGTGTAAGTGTGTTTTAAACCCACCCTCCAGCTTCTTGAGCAGGAAGGACTTGCCGCTGCCCCACTGAGCATACAGACCCACACAGATGGGCGGCTGCATGGTGGGCTCACTGAGGATGTCGGCCAGAGCAGAGCTGTACAGGTCGTAACCCAACATGTCCCCGTCTGTCTCTGTGGGGGACAGGTGACCTGCAGGACACACAGGTGTGTATTATTACACACACACAGTCTGGTTTTGTTATACCTCTGTGTTTCTGCAGGATTCAGAGTGAACGTACGAGCTCCAAAGATCTGCGTCAGGATGCTCTTCTGGTGGCTGCAGTCGATGTTGTACGGCGTCTCTCCCGCCTTGTTGGGCCGGTACAGCAGGCGGCCATCTTTGGGGTTTCTGAGGAGGAGCTCAGCCAGGCGGCGGCTCCGCCCACGGATGGCAATGTGGAGGGGAGTGTCTCCTTTCTGGAAGAAGAAAAGGTCAGACAGAAAAAAATTAGGCACAGGCAGAAGAGGAGAAGAGAGGACCTGAGGAGGGATGGAGTGATGTTGTTTTTCTGGTATCTTTAGATGTAATCATTTCCTGTTGTCCTGAGTGTTTAAAGTTAGATTCTAGAAACACCTCTTTTCCTCCTTTATTATTTTCAAGCCTCTTTGGTTACTTCACCTTATTTAGTTCTGTAATCCTCTCTCACCTTGTCCACAGCAGACACTTTGGCTCCTTTATCGAGCAGCAGCTCCACGATCTCAATGTTCCTCATCTTGGTGGCTTTAATCAGCGGCGTCTCTCCGTCCTGGCGGGAAACACAGAGTCACAGATCTGACATATGACTATGAAGAATAGGGGTGTGTGTGGCTTGTATCTGGGGTGTCTGTGGTCTCACCTTGGTGCAGGTCTCTGTGTCTGGGTTACACTGCAGGATGTCTCTCACCATGGTGGCGTTTCCTTTCTCCACAGCCCAGTACAGAGCTGTTTTATTCTCCTGAGACACGAACAAACACAGAACCCATCATTACACTGATCCTCAGTCAGGTTCATGGTTTCGGATGTTAAAGCCGAACCACATTTGTCTTGTTCTTGTTTTTAGCTCAAATCCATGACGGTATCTGTCTTACTCTCTCCATGTGGACCTGTCGAACTTTCCTTGTTACTCTTTTTTGTTCTCGGATGCTGATTCAGATCACCTGAACTTGGCCTTTAAGTAAATCAAAACCAAACCCCAGAGCTGCTCACTCGCTTTCATTTCACCTCTCCTCACCTGTCCTCTGATGTCGATGTCGGCATATTTATGCAGCAGCGCTCTGACGATCTCCACGTGACCTCCCCTCACTGCTCCGATCAGCACCGTGTCTCCGCTCTGTGACATAAACGATGGTTTAATCTCAGTTTTATCGCTCAGCAGCAGTTTTTTTTAAATCATCAAAAACTGTGAGGTCATCATGCGGCGCGACACCTCTTACCCGGTCTGGGATGTTGACGTATGTCCCCGCGTCCAGCAGGTCCTGGACAATCTCGGTGTAGCCCTCCTTCGCTGCGATCATGAGCGCTGTGTTCCCGTCTTTGTCGGTCATGTTGACATTTGGGTTCCTCTTTAGCAGCTCCTTCACCACCTCTGTGTAGCCGCCGCGCACTGCCACGATCAAAGCCGTCATGGAGTTCTGCACACAGAGACAACAGAGATGTGATCAGGTTTAGGTAGAAACACCTGAGCAGGAGGATCTGGTTTGAACAAATACTGGACCAGAACCTTTACAGAAGATCTCAGGATGAGAGAGGAGTTTAGTTTTGCTTCAATATTTGTGTATTTTTAACTTAGTTTCTAACAGATGTTGTGATAATGTGGTGTTTGTGGTAATGATTGCAGTATCATGAAGGGTGTGGACATACCGCCCCCTCCTGGTCAACATCAGCTCCGTTCTCCAGCAGGTGCATCACACAGTCAAAGTGTCCTTTCCTGGAGGCCCAGATCAGAGGGGTGGTTCCATACTGACACACACACACAAGACACACACACAGGAAACATTTACAGTATGTACTTTCCCATATTGTTACAGTTTTGTGTAGTTAAGTGTTGGTGTTTGCATGATGTGTTGTTGTTTATTCTCACCTTGTCTGAACAGTTCACTTTGGCTCCGTTCTCCAGCAGAATTTTGACAATATCTGCGTGCCCTCGACCTGCAGCCCAGATGATGGGATACACACTGTACTGCTGCACACATGCATGTGTAACACACACACACACACACACAGACAAACAGCAGGTGTTAGTGTGACAAGTTCTGGAATTTTTAACGACTTCACTGAGCTTCAACAGTTGGATTTATGACGTGAGTAACTCTGTGTTGAACTTGACTGATCTAAAACACAACATATCCTCACATGGATTTATTTGAATGAGTTGAGTGTGAGTGTTTGTGTGTGTTTGTGTGTTACCTGTCCTGTCGTGTTGGGATTCGCTCCATGCTCTAGCAGCAGGTTCACAACATCCACACGACCTTTATAAGCCGCCCACATCAGAGCCGTCCAGCCGCCCTGAAACACGAAATCATTCACAGCAACAGTACGAATGTTCATTTAGACTTCACTGGATCAAGTTAAGTCAAGTATTGAGAATTAAGTGTCACAGCTCTGCTTTAAAAATGCTTCTGTGTTTTGTATTTTCAGTGCAGACATGTGATGTTGCAGCTGTTATTTTTTTTTTAAATTTGGGCCTTTATTGACGCTGAATTTCCTTTTTTTTCTGATTACTACAAGAGTCTTAGTGCAGACTGTCTGGCAGTCATGTGACCTCACCATGTCTCTGTGCTCGATGTAGGCGCTGTTCTCCAGCAGCTCCTTCACCACATCCACATGACCCTCTTTAGCTGCACTGATCAGAGCCGACCAGCAGTCCTGAGGGAGAGAGAGGAGGAGGGGGAGGTTACCATAGAAACAAGTGACTCGTGATTAACCCGTCTGTCTCCTAGCAACCGCAGCATCAAGGTAAGACGGTGATGAGAGTGGGAATCAGAAAAACTGATGTTTATGATCCAGGTGAGAAACAAAGACTGAGAGTGTAAGAGGAGCGTTTGATTTGCTCACCACATCATCCAGGTTAACGTTGGCTCCCCTCCTGATCAGCTCCTGAACGATCTCCAGACTGCCCTGCTCTGCCGCAAGCATGAGAGGGGTCTGACCGTTCTGTCGACAGGAAAACACACAGAAAGATCAGACAACAGAGCAGAAATATGAAGGAAAACTGGAGAAAACAATAAAAAGAAAGAGAAAAAGGCTTAAAATACTGAAATCAAGTAAAAAAGTATCTTCTCCACTTAAAATCTGAGTTTAATTTTTTTTAAAATGAGTAAAACTTTTGAACTGAAGACTTGTATATAGAAGTTAACGCTACTGCTCAGTCATTGTGAATCCTTCCACGTACATCACTTCGCCCGTCAACCTCCTTGAAGCGGTCCAGATGAGCTTTGAGGGCATCCAGGTTCTCCTCCTCCACGTAGCTGAAGAGGTTCTGGATGGCCAGAGTGGTCATCTTGATGGATGTGGTGGTGTCCATATTTGCGGTTTGTCACTGCGCCCCCTAAAGGCAGGAGACATAACAACAACACTTCAGCACTACCACACTAACAGCTCCTTTATCACGTACTTGTAACTTTGGATAGTGCTAAATTTGATCCAGAAACATATTCTTCGATCTGTTCTCCATCTTTCACCTGTCTGACTTTACACACAAACATAGGACGCCAACAGCAGATATGACGGGTGTGTGTTGCCCTTACAGGGAGTTAAAGGGAGACCTATTTAAAGACTGACATTTTAACCTTTAAGCTGCTGCTATCTTGATTATTTCTATCTTAATCTAAAGTAATCAGGTGACATCCAATACATATAACATCTTTATTTCATGTTTGTAAATTTGACTTTTCAACATGGGGCTCTATGGGATTGCCTTTAGTGGACCAAAGGACCTACAGTTTTCGGCTTCTTATGATCCACATAAATTTAACATCTTTGTTGGTAATCAGAGAAGTTCTGAATAATTAACTGTCCATGATATTTACACCCTCCACAGAGTGCAGTCTGTTTGAAGTTTGACCCTCAGCAGCTTCCTTACATGTGTGCTCTTTAAACCGACCTCCAGTCAGCTCTGCAGGCCGCTGATATCACTTCAGTAAAGTCACTCATGATGAAGTAGCTTTCATGCGGGTGACAGACTGCACAGTAACCATGGAAACTACCTGTAGAGGCCACCAGCCAATCACAGCTCAGCTCTATTTGACCCGCAACTCTCCTCCAGATCAATAATGTTTCATTACCACAATTGCTACAAGTCCCACCAATCGGAGAGGAGCTGCTGTTACCATGGAAATAATCTCCAAGCTGCACAATCGATCATCTGCAACTCCAAAGGAGTTATTAATAAGAAGAATAAAGCTGAATAATAAATAAAATTGATAAGTGGCATTTATTGTAGAGAGTTACACAGAGTTACATACAACTGATAATAAAAGTGCTTAAAACTAAAAAGTAGACAAACAAATCTGGTATTAAAAAGAAAAAGGAGCCAGTGTTTGCATATTAGAGTACTGACTATAATTCGTTTTAATCATCATGCTCAGATTTAAAGCTGAAGCATAAAAGACCATCTCTGATTGTTTACAATAATAAATACACTATAGAGGAGGCACTGTGCGTATTGTAGTGCAATGAAGTCTCTTAGTCAGTGTTTAGGATTTTCCATAAAAATCTCTTAAAGTTCAGAAACAATAAGCATGACATCTTTAGTGACACATAATGTATAAAAAATAAAAATTTAACAGTTATAATTTTTTTAAGTCACTTCTTGATTTTAAACATTTTATATTTTGAGCCAATGTTATATAATGTGATAACTGCTATTGAATTAGTGTAGTTTAAGTTTATTAAGCTCAAGAGGATTCAAAAGAACAAAAAATGCTCAAACATTATCGAAGGTAAATTTTATTGGGTTGTTTCTTATTAGTCTTTAAGTGCAATGATTCAGTTATTACACAAAAATATTTTTATTCATGTTCTTCACAAACTGTTGGGATATACAAAAATACTAGTTTTCTTTATTTGGGCTTTAATAGAATTGTTATTACAGTGAATTCTTGTCCTCTTTTGTCTTTTTGTTTATCGTTTTTTAATCTTTGTTACTGTTTATTGATTGATCACCTGTTCACCTATGTTCATTTTTTTCTAATTATAAACAAGGCATGATAAAGAACTAGGAGGACTTTTGTCAGTGTTTTTCATATGTGATAGAGTGCTTTCACAGTTTATTCCACTATTTATTTTCTGCACCTGTTTTTAAGCTTTCATACACCTTATCTATACAATCAGCTTCACTTATTATATTTTTAACACAATCGTCGATGCAAATACAACAAACTATCACACCGTGTTTGATCGAGCTCTATTTATTTGTCCCATTTGCATTAATGGCACAGAGAAGGTTTATTTTTGATATATATCTGTATATTAACGTTAAACTGGAGTCATAATGTTATTTCAGCGGCAGTGACGGTATGTCTGTGTAAACACCGCAGTAACCTGAATAACCTTCATTCTGTCACACAGGAGACACTGATTTTACGCAAAGACTAACCTCCATTTGTTCTCTTTAAAACATATTTCACAGCTCTTTTTTGCAGAAATAAAACATATAATCATTACTGTGATTTTTTTCTCATCGATTCGGCAACGTCACAAGTGTCAATCAAACGCTAATCGATGACACGGAGGGATGCTGACGGTAAAAACGAAAGAAAAGACCGGTCTTTACCTTCAAGTGAATCGTTATTGGACGAGGCTGTCCGGGCAAAGTAAGCTCCGGGTTTCGATGCCTGTTACTCGGCGTTTTCGTCCGCGTTTCCTCGGCCTGTGTTCGGATGACAGCCTGTGCTCATTCTCCATCCGCAACAACAGCAGCCATCTTGATCTGAACAACAACCGAGCGACACCGCCGACGGAACCACCCACCCACAGCCCGCCGCTGCGTCAAGTCTGCCAAGACGAGGGGGCAACTTCCGCTAATGCTGCCAAAATAAAAGCATGTACTGTGACCTTTAGGTTAAAGAGCCCAACTTTTGCAGGAAAACGCATTTAAAATAAGTGTACTGCTCTTTCTCGCGTCGAGAAAATTCACCCTGAATTCATTTAATTAATTTATAGTCCTTTTTTCACCTACTTCGAAAGAAGACTTCACCATGTTTTATTTTGTAGATGTTGTTCCTGTTAAAAACCGAGAGCTTTGAATGTTTTTCCAATGGATTTCTTTTCAGAACAATATTTATTCTAATTTATCCGAGTGAGCAACCGTCTCCCCCCTAAAATACATTTTTTTCTTACAAAGAATAACTAAATTCATCATTTTGTAGCCTGTTTTAAATTTACAAGCCATAATAACGTCCACCTGAATTCCAGAACTCAACCAGACCATAACAAATTAGCTCTCCTGAGGAGTATGTGCCTGGTTATGAAACAGACCAGAAGAAATGCTGGTCTATCTACATCAAAAAAAGACCAATGGTGATAAGATTGATAATTTCTATTAAAGTTATTTTAAAGTCTATAATTAATTGAGAATGGTGGACCTAGTGATCAACAGCCAGCTGAATAAACAGCTTTTGTTGACATTTTTATGTTTAAAATAGGTATGACCATTAAAAGTGACATGTTGAAATGAACAGAACACTGGAAGCGGCAAAATGATACAAATCAAAAGTCCCTCACTGGAGCTTTAAACTCCAAAGAGACAAAAGGGCATGAACTCACACAAACAAGAAGCAAGATATGGCCACTTCTTTTCTGTTCATTGAACACTGACAGGTTTATACATCTATCTTGTTTGAGGGTGGTGTCCTTGTCTTTATGACTCTGTTTCTGCATGTGGAGATATTTTTCTACTTCTAAATAATGGCCTGAGAGCAGGACTGTGATTCACTATCAGGTAAGTACACTCCAATTACTAAACAAAAATATTGTTGATAAAATTCCCATTAATTAAATTCAATTTAATGTGTTATCTTGACCGTCTCTGCTACTGTAATCTCTGGAAAAACTGCAGAGTCAGTTTATCATCTGAGAAAAGAGTAATTACTTATTAACAGTCTGAAAGCTGAACGTCAAGGGAGGAACCTGAACTTAGCTGAACCAGTATCAGTTTATTAGGGTGTAAAGTGCAGACAGTATGGAGGAGAAACGTGTTTCACTGCTCGGCACTTTCACCCTGCTGAGGGAGTCCAAAACTGAACCTCAGGCCCAGGTTTTAAAACCACATTTGAGCAAAACTAGTTCTAATCCCATTATTTACAAAACAATACCTAGGTGGTCCTACAGGTTGGCAGCTGACAGACTTCTGATGAGGAGAATCTCATCTGAGCAGTATGAAGTTCACATGGAGAAGTTAAAATTTCAGAGGTTGAGTTTATTTCCTAAAATGCTGTGAAAGGTTTTCATCTTCTTCTTCTTCGAACTGAATTGTTACACATCTTACATCAAACCACAGGTCTGTTTGGAATCACATAAATTACATAAATAACAGGTTGACAAAAAGTGACATCTACAAATGTAAACACAACACCCTTCTCCGCAGTCACACATCCAGAGAGAGTTCATTCTCATCTTCCTTTTTCAGGTAAAAAAATGAAACAAATAAGGCGACTGAGTGGGATCATCATTGGCACTTTTTAAAAACTGATTTCTATGAACACTGTGAAGTGGTGGTTTAAAGATTATAGCACAATGACAGTCTGTGAAGTCAGTCTGAGAGGAATGTGGAGGTGAAAAAAACCTTCTTCATTCATTCATTCGCTTCTTTAATGCACTGGTTCATTGGCCTGATCACTCATTCATGTAGTCATCCACTTACTCCTCCATCTCGCAACATAACGACTTCACTTTGACATGCTTTCATTCACTCACGGGTTTGTTTAATCTTTTTATTCACCCTGTCCAGCATTCCTCTGTTAATTCATTCAATCTTTCTGCAGCTCGACAGTCAAAGAAAACTGAGTCAGGTAAACACTGAAACGATGGCCTCAACAGTTCAGGGCAGTTTGAATCCTTCCTCACAAGGTTTCTCCACATGAAGTGACAGTTCATGTATTTATACTGTAAATCCTCCATGACTGCAGAGTCCGCTCACTTTGCAGTCCCATCCAAAAGAAACCATCTGGTGGTGGTGGAGTTTGGGTCCAAACACTATCCTGGCAGTCATAGGTCCCTGTAAAGACAGTTTTGGGTCCACCACGGAAAACCCAGGCCTAAATCTCATAGACCATCTAGTCCTCTGAATCTCTTCACTACAGTATTTGACTTTGTAACCGCCGTGAGTCGGTACTCGGACAGGAGGAAGATCCGGTCCATGTAGTTCTCCTCGTCTTTCTATACAAGTTAATGGAAATACAACAACACTGTTTTTCATCCTCATGTAGTTTTCTCTTTCCCTGTGGCCTGTAGGTGGTCCTGGACTTGGGCTGGTTCCTGGAGAAGGTTCTTCTGCTGGTCCTTGAGGCGCAGATGTCTTGGTTTGACTGGCAACGCCACAGCCAGCAGGATGCAGCCAATATGGAGGCTGAAGCACCAGGACCTGCCGGAAGGGGACAAGAGGTGAGGGGTAGGAACCATCTGAGGTTCTAAATAGAATAGAACAGTATAGAGTAAAACAGAACGGAGCACAATAGAATACAGTAGAATAATATTGAACAGAAGAGAGTAAACAATATTGAATAGAACAGAACAGATTAGAACAGAATAATATAAAACAGTATAGAACAGAATAGAATAGACTAGAGTAGAATAGAACAGAGCAGAATAGAATACAATAGAATAACACTGAACAGAGTAGAATTAAACAAAATAGAATAGATAATATAGAATAGAACAGAACAGATTGGAATGGAATAGAATAGAGTAGAATAGAACAGAGTAGAATACAATAGAATAATATTGAACAGAACAGAATAGAACAAAATAGAAAAGAACAGTATAGAGCAGAATAGATTGTGTTTTTTTTTTTTTTTTGTCATGCAGATTCTGGAAAGATATCATTGTGTTTCCATTGAAGCTGATGTGAGAAACTTTTGGTTTGTTTTAGTTTTGGCATCCTCTGTTGACAAAGTGATACCCTTCATATTTGGTCCTTTCAGACAAATACCTCATTGTGTTATTTTTTAACAGTGAAATGTAGCGCTCAGTGTGAGTATTTGCCATGAAAAATGAAAAACTAGATCTGATTTCTGGTTGTTGTCAATTATCAGTAACATCATGTAGGCTTATTTAAAACTGAACCTTAATAATGCATCAGATTTTACTTTTTTTTTTTGGCGCTTTATCAGAGACCCTAAAAGTGCTTTACATTGGATACATCATTCATTCACTCTCACAGTCACTCCTTGGTGGTGGTAAACTACTGTAGTAGTCACAGCCATACTAACTTTAGATTAGCCAAAACTGAACTACTTTAGATGAAGATGAGCCTGAATTAAAGCTGCTTGGTGACTGACCTGTAAAACTTGATGGATGGACCCACAGACAGCAGGACAAAAGGCACCACCGTGTAGCAGATGGCGATCTGAGTGGCTGCCCACGTGATGACATCATAGACCAGTTTGTGTGTAGATGATTGCAGGAAGTATGGCCGAACATTGTGTCGGACCTGAGAGAAGAAAATACATAACCAATCAGCAGCAGAAGAAGTTCAGTACGATCTTCAGCTACATCTACTGTATATCTATCTATATAGCTAGATCTTCAGGGAGGCCATGAAAGCAGGAGGTGAAACACTGCATGAAGGAAGCAAAGGACATCTACAGGAGAAAGGTGGAGCAGAAGCAGAAGGAAAACAACATGAAGGGGGTCTGGGAAGGTGTGACTACCATCACAGGCCACAACACCAAGACCAGAGCTGAAGGGGGAACCGTGGAGAGGGCGAATGAACTGAACGACTTCTTCAACAGGTTCAACCAGCCCCTGTCCCCCCTACCCTCCCTCTCACTGCAACCATCTTTCTTTCTTCCCTCAACACACCTCCTCTCAGTCACCACAGTACCCCCCTTCTCCTCTTCAGCCCTAACCTCAACACAGACCTTTCCAAGTATCACTGTGGACCAGGTCAGAAGTCAGCTGAGGAAGCTACAACCCAGGAAAGCAGTTGGTTCAGACAAGGTGTGTCCTAGACTACTAAAGACCTGTGCTGCTGAACTGGGTGAACCACTGCAAAGAATCTTCAACCTCAGCCTGCAGCTGGAGAGAGTGCCCACCCTCTGGGAGTCACCCTGCATCGCTCTAAATCCAAAGAATAACCGACCCAGTGAGCTGAATGACTTCTGACCACTGGCACTCACTTCACATCTGATGAAGACGATGGAGCAGGACACGCCTAGGACAGTCTACTGATCGCATACCAAGCATGTGTTGGTGTGGAGGACACCATCCTCTACCTGCCACACAGAGCCACATATGGATAAGGGGAGTGGCACTGTGAGGATCCTCTTTCTGGAATTCTCAAGTGCCCTCAACACTATCCAGCCCCCTCTGCTTGAGGACAAACTGAGCAGGACACAAGTGGTCCCCTGTCTGGTCACCTATATCTCCAGCTACCTCACCAACACGCTTGCGCTATGTCAGACTGAAAGACATCATGTCGGACACTCCGATCAGCAGCACTGGAATAGCACTGGAGCACCCCAGGTGGCGGTGCTGTCTGGTGCCAAAGGAACCATGTGCACCTCAACGCCACAAAAACCAAGGAGCTTGTCCAGACCAAGGTCCAGACCAGTTCTGATCGAAGGAGTCAAGGTGGAGGCTGTAAACTCATATAAGTACCTCAGACTGTGGCTGGACAGCAGGCTGGACTTGACATGTAACATGAAGCACCTGTACAGGAAGGGACAGAGCAGGCTGTACTTTCTAAAGGGTGCAGTAAATTCCTGCAGATGTTTTATCAGTCCGTGGTTGCCAGGGTCCTTTTTTTACACCGTGGTGTGCTAGGGGGAGCAGCTGGAAAAAACTGATCAGACAACTGATCAGAAAACTGATCGGCTCTGTGGTGATGGTGGCAGAGAAGAGGACTATGGACAAACAACTGGACATTATGGGTCACATTGCAAACAGTTAACTAGTTCAGCTCACCGCTCTGGCAGCCAGCGTGATGACGATGCCGGTGAGGAAGGTGAGGTAGTAGCCTGGATAAGCTCCGTGCCACATGGCTGACAGGATGAAGGTGGCTGCTGTCGGGTGGTAGGGACATCGCTCGTAACACACCCTGTCAAACAGTGGTCAGAAATACAAATGTAATACCAAAGAGAGGTTTAGACAGCAGGTTTCATGAGTATCTGCTCCACCTGTGGATGTTTAATGCAGTTAGTAAAGTCTCAGAGTCCTCAGCTCAATGGAGGGTCTGCTCTTTAGAAGAGGTAATACTGATTAATATTTTCAGACATGCAAACATAGTTACATTGTTGGTTTAAGTGTCAGAACAGTGGATTAATTAGCTTCATTAATGTTGGTTAATTAGGAGACAGTGGGGAGGACAGTACCTGAAACCTATTGTGTCAGACTGAGACTGAACTGACTCTGAGGTGAGATAAATAAGAATTTTTATGAGCTATAAACCACATGAAGCAGTTAGACAATAAAACTTTAAGAGGGCAATATACAGACAATCTGAAGATCCACCAGCAGATGGCAGCAGTCCACAGTCTAGGGCCCTATTCTATTCAACCTGCACAGCTCTGTCAGGATGAATTTTCTGTCTGAATTCAGCTGATCGCCAAATATTCCATCTTGAGAAATGATTCATTGTGTAAAATCAGCTGTAGTTGAACGGGGCGAGAGTGAATAGTTTAAATCCCTGTCCTAGGAAAGCATGCTCACAAATGTACTGATGTTACAGAGAGGGTGTGATGGTGTTTTTCAGCTTTTTTCTAATGATAATCTGATACTGTCCATGTACAGTATTGACTTCCAACACTTCCGCTTAACAGTTTTTTAGGATATATATATATAAAAAAACATAATTCCACCTCTGTAACAGGATATTTCAGTTTCAAGAAGTTGATCCTTCTTGGAATCAGCTCACCTTTTTAGCCAATGAGCTGTCTGGATGTTCCAGTTGTCGAGGAAAACTTTGAAACTGGTGGCTAACTGAAACAAAACAGAAGAAATCTTTAATTAATATTAAAACTTTAATACATAAACAATGATGCTCTGCTAACATGCACAAGATGAACTTCGTGATTTACTCTGAAGCTAAAAGATGAATGACGTCTTTAACCAACAGTTAGCAGTAAGCCTGTAGGCTATGTAGCTAACAGTTGACTTAAAGTTTGTGTGTTCATTATTGATATTAACAGGATCATTAGCAAGCTAGCAGCAAGTAGACTATTTGCAGATCATCAGGTAGCATTTGACAATCTGTCGATAGATTCCTTGGCTTGCAGTTGTGAGCTAGCTTGAAGATTCATTAGCTTACTGTTTGAAGATAGTTCTCATAGAGTCAGTGTGTAATGCTGTTGGCTGTAGCTGGTTGTTTGTGTCATTTTTAAATGCCGGTGAATTTGTATGTAAGTCGTTCACAGGTTTGTTTTTCCTTTTTAAAAAATTGTATTTTCATATGTTTGATGGGAAAAAAGGACAAAAAATTAAACCTCGATGTTAAGGATCCTCAGGTTGGAAATCATGTCCCATCGAGGCGAGCCGTCATCGTCGTAGCCATTAAAGCCAAAGCCTGCGGCGTTGTTGATGGCGTCAGCTGAGGTAAGAGTAAAACATTAAAGAAGTTTTAGACAGAAGGTTGTGTTTGATGACTCTGCGGTTGATTCTGAGAATCTTCGGCTGGATTTTGTTGTAAATTATAACAAGAATATGAAAACACACAAAAAAAAACACAGAAAAAAAAGGAAATCTTGACCTAGGTTTTAAACACTCACCGAGAGTCCAGACAAAGTAGTACTTGGGTCTGGTGGTCAGCATGGACAGGTAAAGGTAGACCACCTGAGCATAGAACGGCGTGTTGGCGATGAAGTCATCATCGATGTTTCGTTCCACAGGGAATACTTTACACACGGACAGGAAGACCAGCAGACAGAAGAAGGAAGTGGCCACTTTACGGACGACCTCAGTCTGCAGAAACGGAAACATGTATTTAAAGCTGATGATTCTTTATTAAACTGACAGCAGACTTAGTTTCCAGGTTATGGACTCTGAAAGAACTTCAGCTTTACAACACTCTGAGACCAGGATCATCCTGGATATTCACAGAGAGTAAGGGTCGTATTTGAAGTCTTTGTCGTACGTTTGGCGAGGGCTCGTCCTGCCTCAGCTTGGGGTAGGGCTTCTTGTCCTCGTGCTCTCTATGGCGACGGGGGTCTCCCTCAATGAAGGCGATGTAGTCGTTGTAGGAGCAGGTAGGACCTGCCAGGATCCCCATGAAGTTACAGTTGTAGCTGAAGTACTCCAGCAGACTGGGCATCCTCCTGGTTACAAACATATTCAGACAAATAAATGAGAAATTTTAGAAGGATTAAGCACAAACAATACTAGAGTTGGACATCTTGCGGTCGCTACTAAAGTTGGTATAACTAGAGAAGAAAGCGATCAGCAACATTCATCTCTTGAGGGGGTGCCTAACTCTAAACTGCAAACATTGTTGGACTTCTATGTTTATTATTTATCTAAATGGAGTAGAAGCAGTAGGAAACATGGACACGCACCTTATAGCCAGAATCTTCTGTCCTGGGGTTAGATGTTCCTCTTTTCGAGCCATACCTGCATCAAAAATCAGAACTGACAATCAGCTGCTGCTGAAACAGAAAAACACCAAACTGGTAATAAACCGACATGTCTTCGCATTCTTACCATCGTGGATTTCAAAGGCCAAACTAGTGATCTTCTGCGTTATCACCATCATAGGTCTGCAGACAGAGAAAAGACAGACTTTACTGACTGTGTGATAGAGATTCATTTCAGACAGAATAATTTTGATTTGGACGTTTGGCTGTGGATTCAGTGTATATGAGCTGTCTCACCCTGTGAAGTCAGCGGAGTACATGCCGTAGTCGAAGACGTAAACTCGAGTGATCTGACACAGACTGAGGTAGCTGAGAGCCACCAGGAGGCAGTACCTGAAAACACAACAAGGACTCATTTATGCTGCAAGTCTGACACACATGCAGATCTGAAATCCTTTTATCTTTTTTTTTTCTGCAGGTTTTCTCTAAAGTTTTGAGTCTACAAATCAGTCGGCTGTAGATACAGAACTGCAATTCTGGGACCTTGTCTCTGGTATCCTCGCGTTTGAATAAAAGAGGCATTAGGATCCACTCAGCTAAACATTTAAACACAGTCTTCAGTGTTGACAGTGGGGCCAAAGCATAAAGGTATGAGGCGGGAGGTTGCTGGTTTGACTCTTGAACTGGACCACTAGAATAACATTGAGTTATTCTCTCACTGTAGTGCAATAATCAAACTGATGCATCTCTCTCTGTGCCTCCAAGACAAAGCTCTGTGACTCTGCTGTAATTCAAGAGAGCGAATATCACAGATGACATCATCATGGCATCATCATGTGACCCCCCCTGTGGGTAGCGGTCCATCAGTGAATTTGTACAAGCAGCAAACAATAAGCTGAATCAGCTGTTTGTGAACACCAGACAAAGAACTCTTACAAAGTCCACTGGGAGGAGGTCAAAGGTCACAGCTCAGGAGCACATTCAAATCTGACCCATGGGGCAATTTTGGACCCAGGCTGAGCTAACATCTGAAGCTGAGAAGTGAAGCCAAAACAAAAAAAACAACAAGGCAGTTCCTGAAATGTCCACTAGAGGTTGCCTGCTAAAGTGGGTCAATCCCCATAAAGCGCCATATTAAAAAGTCCAACTTTTACTCCAGCAGTAGATTTAAATTAAATTAGCGTTGACGTATCATGTTGATCCATATCTACATATAATAACACTTGATGTCCATACTAAACCTTGTCAAAGTTTCAAACATGAGATACAAAAATTTTGCTGTAATTCTTGTATGGGTTCTCTGGCTCATTTGGAGAGACTCGGCCTGAACATTAAGTCAGACTCTGCCATTCTATGTATTTGAACAATTTAAGGACACGCCCACTCAGAAGCTCTTACAATTTTTTGTTTGCCTAGAAAGTGAGTTTCTTCCCAGCTTGGTACTTTGTTGATTTTATTTTTGATTCTGGTCATTATTTCTTCTTCCAAAAGACAAAGTCACCTATATAGTGGGAAATGTTTAGGTTTTCAGGACAAGAACAGCCATATCATAACTGTTTGTCGCTGATGATCCCTTTGTAAACAAAGACCACTAAACAAAGGAGCTGGAGTAAACAAGTTTGTTTTAGCTTAAACTGTTACTGAAAACTGGGGCTTTTCCATCACTGAAGACCTTCATCAAAGCTCAAAGCCACAAGGTGAGACTAACATTATTATAACAGGCTATGCAACAACATTAAAAACACATTATGGGGAGCTAACGTGGGCACTGAGGGCTACCCCAGACATTTTCTGTAAAGGTATAATATTCATGTTGTTTCATGACTATAAAGCTATGTAAAAAGTAACACCCACAAGCTGAGTGATTTGAGGAGTTTTTCTGAGCTACAAAACAATCAAAGTATGCTATCGGTGTCCAAGCCTGACAGAATGAAAGATGATTAACACTGGTCTAAATGAAGTCAATCAAGACTCAACTTTTTCCAACGATGGCCCCTCTGAAGACAAAAAACAAGATGGTAACACCAAAAATATTAAACCAGAGGCTTCAGAGCAGTGAGTCATTTACTGTTTGTCCTACTTATGTTGACTGGTGGTGCCTGGGAGTCAGGATATGAGTTTATTTAAAAATTAACATTAATTAACAGGTAGGCGACTTGTAAGCTTTAGGTGATAATTTAATTAGCAGGTAATAAATTAGCTCCAGACACAGACTGTTTATCTTTGACAGCTCAGTGTCTGTTAACCCATCACTGTTTTCCAGCTCTGCTCACTCGAAAAAATGTGGTCACTTCTGGCTCTTAAAAAAACAACAAAACGTCTGCTTAGATACCAGGCTAGAGGTTGTGAATAAGCATCAAACAAGCTATCAAAAGATAAAACTTAGCTGAGTCCATTAATGACAGTGTATGAATGTAATCCCTATACAATCACATCTGAAGATACATGGAGAGATAAAAAGGTCATGAAGTATAAATAAAAAAGTCCAGTTCTTTGTGTTTAAAGTTTTCTTGAAGTTTTTAACCATCTCCTGTTTATCTAAAAAAACAGTTTGATCAGACATAAAGCCTCAGCTCGACAGACTTTAAAATGTATCACAGACTCTGTAACAAACATCCTCCGTCTTCATCAGGATAAGCGTCTGTCAGTGAGCTCTCTCTGTAATGGATCTGACTGCACTCAGAGGATTCTCTTCTTCTCTGCTCTGATTAATGACCACAGACACTGGCTTTTCTTCCTCTTCTTCTTCCTCCTCTGAGAGTCTCTCGGCCTGATCTGGATCTGATCATCCAAACACTGACCACACCATCGCACAGCCCTCTCACTGAGTAATCTGATTTTTATAACTGAATCACAGGACGAGAATATGATAGCAGGACTTTCTGAGGCTTACTTGTGCATGTGTTCGACTCCGGTCAGGATCATGATGCCATAGGTGAGTCCACTCTGAACCAGGAAGTGAAGGGCATACCTGGAAATATGAAATAAGAGATTATTCTCAGTGAGCCGCAACCATAAACTCCCTGATTCCCTTTTACTGTTCGTGAAAATATGACAGAACATATGACACAACACACCTGTCCAACAGTGTATGAAATGACAATATGTACCAATTTAAGATGATAGTTCTAATACAGAACCATGTTATATGATACACAAATCTTTATGATAGAATATGATAGGTTACTTTATGTTATTATTCAATAAGTTACAATAACACAAATCAATTTACTGTGTAATATGATACAAAAAGACAGGATATTATGCAATACAGCAGCCTACAATACTATTTTGATATGATAAGTGACGTTACAATACTTCGCAAGTACTGTGTAATTGAATAAGACATGATGATACATAACAATATGATATGATACAACATGATTCACGTTGAGTTATGTTATGTTGTTTTACACTGCATTACTCTGTGTTACATTGTGTTACTTTAGGGGAGACCAGGGCTTGTTGTCACACGGGTAAGTTACACTGCAATTATCTTTGCCACCAGAGGGCACAACTAAAAAGTAGAATACTAGTTTTCTTCCTTTACATGGTCAGGGGTCATGTCTTGTCTGAGAAAAGAAGAGCACATTGTGGGCTGAGATGAGCGCTAATTAACCATTTTGCACAACCCAAAATAAGAAAAAATTAACTTTGTACATTTTAAAAAAGCTTCTTCCAGATAAAAATCCTTGCAGTAAAACATGTGGACTTGTTAGAGGAGAGATTAAGGCATCCTGTCATACCTCAGTCATTGTTCTGTTTTAAGCTAACTTTAAGCTAGAGCTAGAATTAGCAAACATGGTAGTTTGGGGCAACATGTTTCAGTCATTTCGGGGTTAGTTGTCACATGTTTAAAAGGGGTTAAAACCAACATAGTCTGCTTATCAGCAGTTGTCATATTGAAATTTTGATTATTTTTACAGACAAAAGAGTGGTTTAAAGGAGAGGAGAAAGCGAGGAGCCCCGGTCTCCCCTACTTTGTACTACGCTGTGTTACGTGGCATTAGGTTTCGTTGTGTTGTACTGCTTGGTGTTGCATTGCCTTGAGTTGCAGTACATCGTGTTGCGTGACGCTACATTTCGTTGCTTTATGTAAAATTGCAATATCTTATGCTTTGCTCCTTACTTTTCTCTGTCACGTTCTACTAGGTTTGGATGTTACGTTGCATTATGTTGTTTTGCGTTATTATTTATATGATGCTGAGCTACGTTGTATAACCTCATATAGCATTTTGTTGAGTTGATACAATAAAGCAAAACACAATATAATAACACAATGCAATATGAATTGATAGGATACCATGGGATAAATTAGCTTGGGTAGTATACAACAGGACATGGCACAATATAGGAGAGAGCAGTTTTTTCATAATTTTATTTTAACTGTTGAACTTATTGATATGACAAAATCAACTGCAGACAAGCTCAAATTAACCACCTGATGTGCAATACAGGAGTTTATGTGAGTTTGATTTTGAGTGTTTCTTGTGTTCCTTCTTTATAAAAATCCAACAATCATACACAGTTTTAGAAGACCGTGTCTCTTACCAGCCAAAGCAGAAGAGAGCGAAGTACAGTCCCAGTACAGTAGCCACCACATGTCTGATGAAGGGACTGGTTTTACTGGGATGGAGGAAGAGACGAAACCAGAAAGCTGACAGCAGAGCGCAGAGCTGACATACCACAAAGTTCACCTACAGACAACAGAGAGGGCAAAGAGAAGCAGCTGCAGGTTAGATCATGTGACCAGAGCCGGTGGTTCAGGTGTGGTTATAAACTGAAGTTCTCTCTGTTTCGTTTCTCTGACGTCTGTGCTGGTAAATTTAGACCTTCAGCAGATATTTATAGTCTGAGAGTGGCTGTCCATTAGACAGAAAACTGAAGACAAACTGTGGCTGCAGAGAAATCTCAGCGTTCAGAGAGCAGAGAGAAATGCCCCCAAAGTGTCACCCATGAAAAGAGCTGTTTGAGTTCCCTAAATGACAAAGAAAGGAGCTTTGTTGTTTAGTAAAATGTTTGTTTTTTCTTTCATGAATATGTCCTGGTCTTCAGTGAAATGTTTTTGCATTTCATGAAATGTTTGTTTAGTTGACCTTCAAGGTCTCCATACAAAGTCCATTCATCTTTTATTTTCTTTGATTTTTATCAAAAAATATTTTTAATACATACAGTGTATATATTTTGAATTAACCCTCACATTTCCTCCATATTGTGAGATCTAAACCTTGTACCCATTCTCAGTGGTTAATTTTGCCCTGAGCTTGTCTAGACAGGGCCCAGTCTGAATTTAAGGAATAGTAAAGTCTGATCGTCGTTCAGTTTGAGGTGGTTTTGTGTTTTCAAGCCAAGCTTGTTTGGGTCATTTCAGGCCCTGCAGACAGTGCGTTGTATTTCAAATGGTGACACCACAGACGGAGTTTTATCGTCAGCGTAACACCTGATCCTGTTGTAAAGTGAAACAGACGACACTTGTTGATGTGTCATTCATCAATAATGAAGGGTGTGTAAACTGAGCGATTTACAGAGAGCTCCTCTGATGTTTCTTTTCTGTCTGGCTGCTCCCTGAAGAATGGTCGGCCTGCATTAAATACCTGAAGAGACGTCGGAGATAATTACAGACTAATGAGCACAGGATGAAAGGGGAGGAGACAGAAAACAACCTGCAGCTCTGAGGTTCAGATCTCTCAATCAAAACTTAAACAATGAAAACTTTTATCTTTTTTCTTTTTTTAAACAATTATTCTCTCAGACAAGCAAACAAAAATCTGCTGCTGATGCTAGCTTAGCTTCATGCTAATGTCAGTTTAGTTAAGCTAAATTAAGGTTTATTATCACTTGATTAGAAATTGGTTATTTCTTGGTGTTTAGCCTGTAAATATTAATGTCCACCTGTTAGGTAGCTAGGAGACAAGGCTTACGTTAAAGGTAATATGCTATTAATGCTTATGATATGCTAATATTTGACCTTTTTCAAGTTAAAAACAGAAATACAAACTTATTTCATAATCACTTTTTAACAAAATTTATAAATAGTATTTTTTTTAAATATAATAATTGAGACTGAACGATGTTGTGCCGCCTGCTGTGTTGCAGGAAAACTCTAACAGACTAACACCTGTGAACATTTTTTACCTGCTTAATCATTTGATAAGTTGAGTATGTAAAATTTTAAACTACTCTGGAGTTCCTGCGTCTTCTTCATTTGATTTCATAGAAGCAGTGACAGATCCTTGTCCTTCACTTGGATCCAGACCTGAAACAATCTTAGCGCAGGCTTCTCCAGGTTACACAGCTGACAAAAAACACCGAAAAGGCACACCTGATACATCACCTGGTGACGTCTGATGCAGCTTAGTTAACAGGTCTTACTTTTTTAAGTCTATTTAATGACTAATGACGTTTTTTTTCCCCCTGAAAACTAGACTAAACACTGAGAGCACATTGGTTCTGGGCCCCTTATGTAAGTGGGGCCAGATTAATGTTTTCTGTAGTTAGAGGTGGAAGCATGTGTTTTTGTATGCAAGGAAAGCGGTAGATAGAGCCTTGAGTACATTTTAGAAATAGTCATTTTTTATTGTTCTATTCTCATTAGGTAAATATATCAAAGGAAAAAGTTCAGTAGAGTCGACAGGAGGCATTAAGTCTTTTTCCTCCAATCAGAGACATGCTGCAGAGACAGCGTGGTTTGCACATGCTCAGTAAGGCTTTCTACACAAGACTGACAACATTTTCAACAACTACTAACAAATCTATGAGAAAAACCGTTTGGAAACAATGTTAGATTTTTATTTCCTTGGATTTTCGTTGTCTAGATGTAAAAAAATTTGATTATTAATTTCCACAAGTTTGAATAATCATTCTTTAACTTTCATGTTATATAACTTGCATTGCTTGAAGTCACGATTTAAGAAAACTACACCTATACAGACAAACTGTGATAGTTAAAGAGTACATTTCAGGGATTTTGAACATTTGGTTGTAGTATCTAACTTTCAACCCTTAAATCTAATACTAATTTCTTTATAGTTAAAACAGTTAAGTTACTGTGAGTTAACAACTACTAGCTTTAATTCATATTTTTATGGAAATTGTAATAAGACAACTGTTTCTTCGTCCGCTCAGCTGACTCCTACCTCCTCTCAAGACTTGAGGCATGAGAAATCACAAAAAAAACCTGTCTAACCAATGGCGTTGTTTGATTTTGGACATCATGAAAAGACATCAATATGATTTTCAGTGTATTTCATAAGAGTCAAAAAACTTATTACAGGAGCTTTAACAGGGGTACTTTATGTACATTTAACAGTCAGCTGCAAAATCTGACTCTTTGCCTTAAAAGATAAATGATAAACAAATTCACCATAAGATCATCATTTTTTTAGCTGAGAAGCAGACAAGTGTGTGTTGGGTTAAAATTTGATTTAAAAAGTGAAAATAGTTTTTGAGTAGTTGAGATGAATAAATAACTGTTGCAACCTTCCCCTGTTTCCCCTATTTCATTGTGGGGTTTAGTCAAATGATTTTAACAAGATTATTGGTTGTTTTTGTGAAGAAAAAATTAATGTTGGTGTTATTAATGAGGCCTGTATGTTGACTGAACAGAGATAATCACAATCCTCCCATGAGAGGACAAATGAGAGAATAAAGAAATGAAAATAACTTCATTTACATGTAAATAAGCTAATGAGATGCAGAAATCGTGATTTTTTTTTTGTGTGTGTGAGTGTATGATAAGTCTGGTCTTTCTAATCGTGCACCCCATTCCTGAACTGGCCTCAGAGCAAAAAAACAAAAAACAAAAACCCGGACCGTGTTTGTGGTCTAAAATCCGCCTTTCTGTCTCAGCGAGGCCTCCATCCATTTTGCACGAACCGTCTCTGCACCGCCCGTCTGACCGGCCCGGTGCATCCCTCTCACGGCCGTTCTCGTCGCCCTCCACGGGCCGTGCATTTCGCATTAAACGCCGTGTAAGAGAGCCCCAGCAGCCGGCCCCGGAGCTCGGATGTCCCCAGAGGCTCTTACCTGGTCCAGCGGCAGGTTGGTGATCTCGCTGACCGGCTGCAGGAGGCTGGAGCCGGTGCAGGCCGTGGTGCGGATGTCTTCGTCGGCCATGGCTCCGGTCTGCGGCCGGGTCTGCTGCTTCTGTGTCCGGCTGCAGCGGCTGTGAGGCGGCGGCGGAGGCACTAGGATCCGCCGACGGTCCGTGTGTCTGTGTGTCCTGATGCTCCTTCCTCCTCTTCCTCTGCTTCTTCCTGCTCCTCCTCCTCCTCCTCCTCCTCAGTCTGTCTGACTCCCCCCTCCTCTCTCACTGTGCCCCCTCTTTCTTCTCCCCTTCACATCCATCTCTCTTGGTCCTTCCTCCCCCTTTATCCCTCCTCCCCCTGCGACTCTTTTTCACTTTCTCCTCTTCAATCCGACCCCCAAACCCTCCTCCTCCTCCTCCTCCTGCTTCTACTCTTTGTTTCTTTTTCTTCGTCCCCTTTCTCTCCCCTTTTTGGTGTTTTTTGTTACATCAGTTTTTTCTTCTTCCTTGTATTCATCCTCTTTGCTTTCCTCTCCTTAATCCCTCCACTTCTTTTCCTCCTCATTTCTTTCCCCAATCTCACTTTGCTAAACAATCTTCCTTTCTAAAAAATCTCAACTATGAGTGGTTGGATAACGCAGAATGTCAATAAAAAAAACTGAATTAGGAGGTCTGGCAATCATTTAAAGCTTGTAATTAAATGAAAAGAGTGCAAAAACAACGTATCAGAAGATGAAACTGAAGAATTAGATCATTGTATGAAAATGAGAAGCTCATTTTAGATTTCAGTCCAGCAGGAAAAAGTTAGAAAAACAAAAAACACTGTAAAAGTTGTAACAGACAAACAAAACTGAAAGAACGAATGAGGTTAATTTCCAACAGGTTAGTAACATGACTTGGAAGGAAAGATGAGAAGAGGTTCATCACTCTGTGAGCGACTGCATGAGCTGATAATTCCCATCATTAATATGCATGAATTTGTGGATATCATCATCTACAGGACAGAATATTTCTCAAATGTTCAGTGAATCTGGAGATTTAAAATTGTACATTCTTTTTTGAAAATCATGGACATCATGGGTAGCTTCCACATGAGTGAAAGCTCTATCAATGATCTACAGGTTTAGGAGCAACATCTGCTGCCACCCAGATGACTTTTTCAGGGAAGACCTTCTTTTAGCAAGACAATGACGAACCACTTTCTGCAGGGATTATGACAGCGTGGCTCTAAAGTAGAGGTGGTGGAGCACTAGGGTAAACAGACTCCGGCTGGCATCATTATGTTTTTACTGTAAAGATTGTTGTTGCTGTTACACCATTTTCAGTGAAATATGGGATTTAAATGATTTTCAAACCAATAAATCTGTTGTTAACTAGTATCTGACACAGAGTTCAAAGTATTCTGTTGTCAGGGCTGTATAAGATCAACTTATGTCTCTGAAGCACCTTTACACATAACATTAGTTATCTCATTTGCTAAATAGCTCTGTTAAACATCTGTGATTTCCCTCGATTTATAGTGGTTAGCTGGAAAGAGCTGTTTGATTTTGTATTATTGCTTATTTGTATTAAGCTTATTTTTCTTTTCTTCTCTCTTAGCTTGGATATTTATAGTTATGTAGCCTTTAAGTCATGTGCATGTTGCTATATTGGTGCAATCCTTTCCAACATGGTATAAAAGGGATCTCAATAAACAGGTCAATAATAAAACTTTTCATTTTAATTGTTGATATTTTGTCATTGAAGACAAATTCTTTTCATTGTAGTTTACATTTTTAATTTCCCTCAGGGATTAATAAAGTATCAATCTATCTATCTATCTATCTATCTATCTATCTATCTATCTATCTATCTATCTATCTATCTATCTATCTATCTATCTATTCATTTCTATATTTCCTGTATATGAACAAAAACAAGACAAATTACATGTATTTTCAGTTACAATAAAGATGTAGAGGAAAAATAGCTTCTGACCCTTTCCTGTTTTCCTCTATTTACAAAAATTCTCAAAAAACTTGAGTGTATATAGGCCTACCTCTCTGCTTTACTTCGGCATATACGCACCGTTCTGCTCTGTTCAGCAGGGGACCTCCCGCCGTATCAAAGCTGATAACGAGCCGAAATTAAACAGTAGAAGAAGAAGGAGCAGCAGTACGGACTTCCGTGTAGTTTGTTTTGGTGTGTTGTCCTGACAGCAGCCGTTAGCTTAAGTTAGCATTAGCCGAACATGTCAGCCACGGAGGACGACACGGAGCTGAGGGACCTGCTGATCCAGAGTCTGGAGAACAGCGGAGTTCTCAACAAGCTCAAGGTGCGGGGGACTCACTTAAATAATAAATGAATGATTATACGCGAAGTTTGTTTCACTTTAAATGATCCGCTTTAAAATGACGCTAGGCTAAAGTTAGCATGACAGTCAGAGGGTGTAGCTTCATTGACTTAATCCTCATTTTTATGTTTATTTCTGCTTTTGAGTCGACTTTTATGTTTAAACTGAGTTTTACCTTAAGGTTGGATCTCTGGGGGAGATTTTTTCAGTCATTTACAGAGCTGATGACTGTTAGCTTAGCTGACCGTGCTAATGTGGGTCAGAGCTCAGTGAAAACTTCATTCAGTAAAGTTACTGAATTATCCTGTAAAGTGCAGATTTAAGGTATTTTTTAAATCACTTTAGGAATACTCCCCAAATCTACTTTTAATGTATTCTTTAGAGACAACCCGGGGAGATACATCGTATTTTGTTCTACTAAAAACAGTCAAAGTTAAAAACAAGTCTGTCTTTGTATTGACCTGTCTTGTGATTTGTTTTATAACTGTAATATTTGTTTTATGTAACTGTCTGCCTCAGGCGACATTGAGCCATTAGACTATTCTTTTAGATTTTATTGATTTATTTTATTTTATTGCATATTAACATTGCAACATACTGCTAAAATATTAATTAAAGGGATATTCTGGTGTTAAATTAAGTTAGGGTCAAACACACCATAACACCAAGTTAGACACCCCGTCGAGAGATGAATGTTGTTTACTGCTTGCTTCTCTAGTTATACCAACTTTAGGAATGCCTGCAGATAGCAAAACAGAGAGCCCCCCTGCTCAACCAAAAAGCCACTCTATAGTCACAAATAATGCTCAGAACAGCACCTAACTTCATCAACAGTATATATAGGGTCCCAGCCATAGTACTAGACACCAAACATCTTTTTAACATCGCCTAATTTCTTTAGCAAAGAGACTAAACAGAACTCACCTACTCTCTTCCAGCAGCCACTTGTTTGTAGAGGGACCTCGGGCCAGTCCATTACGGACTGCAGCGGGGGGATGCAGCTGAAAGAAGAACATTTATGATCATTACTTCATGGAAATACAATTAGACCGAGATGCTAAGGCAGAAGAACTACCGCGTCTGCAGTGCAAAATGATTAATGTGATGATTATTACTTCAAGGGATGGTAAAAAAATGATCATAAATGTTCTTCTTTGAGCTGTGTCACCCCGCTGCAGTCAGTTTGGACTTGTCTGCTGGTAGAGAGTGGGTGAGTTGTGTTTAGACTCTTTGCTAAAGAAATCAGGCAAAGTTAAAAAGATGTTTGGTGGCTAGTGCTATGACTGGGGTCTTATATATACTGTTGTTGAAGTTAGGTGCTGTTCTGAGCATAATTTGTGTCTATAGAGTGGCTTTTTGGTTGAGCGTTTGACTTTCTGTATTGCTATCCTGTGGGCATAAAGAAGTTGGTGTAACTAGAAAAGCAAGCGGTCAGCGACATTCATCTCTTGATGGGGTGTCTAACTCGGTGTTATGGTGTGTTTGACCCTAACTTAATTTTATGCCGGACGGAATATCCCTTTAATGCACACTGTCCTCATTACATAAAATACTGACATCTTTGGTTGCAAGATGAAGTATTTTCCAACAAAATGAAATCTAATCAAATGTTTTCAATGGGGGACATGTCAGGACTGCAAGCAGGCCAGTTTATCGACAGGATTCCACTACTACAGAGCCATTGTCTTCTTGAAATATGAAGGTCTTCCCTTAAAAAACGCGTTGTCTGGATGGCAGTAGATGTTGCTCCTAAACCTGTAGATATTGTTGAGCATTAATAGAGCCTTCACAAACGTAGAAGCTACCCTTGACGTGGACTCTGATGATCCCCATACCATCTGGGATGCTTGCTTAATATATGTAATCTATGCTTTGAACTAACATATTTAAAAAATAGCTCAAAGGCACAATCATAAACTCAGCATCATGAATCAAAATTTGTTGAGTTTATTGTCGCATTTCTGGTGATGTGTTCAATGGTGAAGTATTTTGAATATTTGACCACAGAAGATGTACGTTCTCATGTCTGTCTCACCTGTGTCTCCTGCAGGCAGAGATGAGGGCTGCAGTGTTTCTGGCAATGGAGGAGCAGGACAGACAGGAGGTAAATGTTTATTTCTCTGTCTTTGTCTGTATTTTTAAATGTTAAGTAAATCATTAATTCTGTTTTAATATCTGTGATTTCCAGAATAAAACCCCTCTAGTCAACGAGAACCTGAAGAAATTCCTCAACACTAAAGATGGTAAGGGAATCATTCTTTTTAGTTTCAGGTTTTCTTTAATTGTTTATGTGAAATCTAATTTTCACAGCTCAGTCTCATCAGGCTCCTCCTCTGCTTATCCATCTCATGCTGCAGGCTTTATGATGTTCCCAGGTTACTTGTTCTTATGAAATGCAAGGTCTTGGGGGGTCTTTGGGGTCTGGTGTGTAGTAGTAGTTCCTGTCTGTAACCACATAGTGGAGCTGTGGTACTGTCAGACAGCCCTCAGCCTCCAAACCTGCAGGATGAAATGAGACCTGATTCCAAGATGTAGGATTGTAGAACACTAAAAACTTAAAACATTAAAAATAAAGTCAAACTCTCACTGTTGTGTCTCCGCTGTAGGTCGCCTGGTGGCAGCTCTGATGGTGGACTTTCTGCAGGTCTTTAACCTGGACTTTACACTTGCTGTGTTCCAGCCAGAGATAAACCAGGTGAGGCTTTGAGGGAGCGTCTACGACCATGCTCTGACGCAGCATCCCTGTGGTCTGTGGCTGTGTAAATGAGATCTCATATAGCATTATCCACTTCCTGTTTCCTGGTCTCTGCTCACACATGGTGCACCAACTGCACTCATTTCAAACCGCGACTTCAGACACGTTTCCTCCGTCTGTTTGTCTGCGCTCTCACTGGAAGTCACAACTTTTTAGAGTCAAAACCACAATTTACTTTCAGAAAGGTTCAGGCTGGTTTAACATGACTTTTTTGGACATTATTGTTCAGATTTATTACTTTTTTGTTCTGTTATTTTAGCGTTAAATATTTGAATGAAGCAAGAAAACAGAGTAACTTAGTTTTGAAAGTTTGATATGACGATCATTGATGGTGGTATGATGTTTTATTCGACACCTGAACGTCACACTCCTGCTAATTGTTCAGGGTTTATTTTATTTTGTGTTGAACTAATTTTATAAACTGCATCAAAACTGCGTTTCAGCTGAACGGTCTGGATGGTCGGGACCTGGTCTGCAGAGATCTGGGTCTGTCAGAGTCTGAGGTGAACAGGAACTCTCCTCTGCTGCTGGAGCTCGTCAAGAAGCGACACAAATCCCCCGATATCAAAGAAGTAGGTCCTACGGTCTGAGCATCTATACTCACACACTCCATAAGTCTGTGAGGGTTTAAGGCTGAGGGGGCTCTCACAGACTTTTTGAGCCTTTTCTGCACCCTTTCTGTCACTGGGCATCTCTGCAGACTATGCATAAAGGAATTACCCAGAGTTCATAGTACTGTGATGTGAAACTAGGCTTTCTTAGTGCAGTGGTTCTCAAGTCCAGTCCTCGAGGCCCACTGTCCTGCATGTTTTGGATGTTTCCCCTGCTCAAACACACCTGATTCAAATGATCAGCTCGTTATCAAGCTCTGTAATGGCTTAATAACGAGCTGATCATTTGAATCAGGTGTGTTGGAGCAGGGAAACATCCAAAACATGCAGGAGAGTGGGCCTCGAGGACTGGACTTGAGAACCACTAGGTTAAACTATAACTCTTTGACCAATCAGAGCTGCAGTTCCTCTGACCACCACTAGAGGTGCTGTCTACCCTCACTCTGAAAGTAGTCCTGAATCTTAATTACAGTAGACTTCATGTCCTCATTTATACAGATCATCATATCACAAACACAAACATTACATGAAAAGTTTAACTATTTTTCACCTTCCAACAGTTAATGAAAACACACCTGAAGTGATCAGCTGATCAGTGATCTAAATCACCAATGATCCTAAATCACATTTTTCCTGTAAAACTGTTTTCTGGTTCCAGCTTCCTCAGATGTGTGTTTTCTAAGCATTTAAATGATCTGAACAGTTTGAATATGTTTTATTTCAGAGGTTTAGACCATCAGAAACTGATTGACCAGAAACTTGACGGATCAGTTGATCAATAACCTGGGTGACACCTTTATGAGGACACAGAAATGTTTACTGTCTGCTGATTTCAGCTTTTTCTTTTTCAGGAAAACAGAAGTGGAAACACTACCAAGGTGAGCTGTTTGCGCGCGTGTGTGTGTGCGCGTGTGTGTGCGCGTGTGTGTGGGTGTGTGAGTGTGTGTTAGGTAATAAAGGGGTCACAGGCTTCATGACACGTGTTCATGCGCTCATGTGCTCATTCATGTTTGCTTTTGCATAAGTGTGTAATTACTACAACTCGGCCATGCAAGACACGTGTGTGACTCCTGATGCAGGTGTGTGTGTGTGTGTTTGTGTGTTGCATCCTGCAGTGTGCAGCTGTTTGTCTGATGTGACTCGTTATTTTATTAGTTTTCTGTCTTTAAATGCTTTTAAGCTGATTATTTTGTCTTGTTGCTGCAGATGTTTGTGTGCTCTGCAAACATCAGCTGTTTTCTTAGAGTTTTTGTTTTCAACATACAGGATTATAAAATAATGATTAATACAAAAGTTAAGGTTCAGCTTCATGTTTATTTATCTGCAGTCAAATTCTTCTGCTTTCATTTATTGTTTCAAACCAAACTCTCCAAAGTAAGTCATCTTACTTTCATACAAACACAATTCTTCAAAAACAGCAGAATCAAGCTGACAAAGCCGTCCTTCCTCCATCTGCACCTGCAGCATCTGGCTTCAAAATAAAACACAAACCTGACCATCAAACAGCTGCTCGTTAACACGTGAACACACATGTGTCTGCAGCATGAGTTAGACTCATTAACCACACACGTATGCATTAGACTGTTATGAAATACTGCTGTAACGCCTTTAGGCTCAGTGAGTGCACGTCTCTGTTTGTTTCTCACTGTTTGTCAGCTGTGATCAAGGCCCTAAACCGATTCTCCGCAGTTTTGGTTTCCTGTTGATCTCAGTGTGTCCTGGTTTCTTCTGTTAAAGCTCAGACTATTTCACAATACACACAAAACCACACACTGACTCTACACACCTCCAGTGAACAAAATATGAACCCTGCTGGGTTTGATTTAAATATTCAGAAACAGTAATGGAGTTTGGTTTCTTGCTTGTGTTGGAACCTTGAAGATCTTTTCTGCTGCCCTAATCTGAGCCTGTTTTATGGTTGATTTTTTTTCCAGATAAAGAAAAGCTGTTCGCTTTAATCACAATTTTGTGGTCCTGATTTTTAGGCCCTCTGGCAGCACTGCGTTAAAAACAGACAGGACTCTGGAGTGGAAATCACTGCATTGACTTAAAAACACTTTCAGAAATTACTGTGTGAGAACATCCTCTAATGCAGGCTACAACTGAACCATGCAAAGAGGAAACCAGATAGAAACATGATCCAGAAACACCAGAGACTTCTCTGGACCTGAGCCCATTTAAGGTGGACTAAGGTCAAAATGTTTTTAATACTTTTTGGAAATCATGGACGCTGCATCCTCCTCAGCTAAGAGTAGAGGAATAGCCTGGCTTCTTCTTAGCTCTGCCCTGATAGTATGGGGATCATCAGAGTCCATATTAAAGGGTATTTGAGCAAAAACTGAAGCACTGAGAGGTTTTCCTGACCTGAGAAAGCAGAAAATAAAGTCAATTTAAAAGATCGTATTTGCTCATGAACCTTTCCTTGTCACAGGAACCGACTCAGAAACAGATTGCACACGCTCGAAAGAAGTTTGACGCTTATGACAAGGTGAGTGTCTCGCATCTTTGAGTGATGTCATCATTCTACAGCCAATCACAGCCAGCGATTCAGAGCTTCATGTTTGTTTGTTTTTTAACCTGCAGGATGGCAGCGGCTCGGTTTTAAGAGAAGACCTGAAGAACGTTTTCACAGATTTGTTCCCCAGTTTGAACAAGTACGTCTGCAGAACACAGAAACAGGTTTTTATGTTGTGGAAAGCAGGAAGTATTTTCATCACTTCTGTTTGAGCCACTTTGGACTTTTGTGGTTTAGAGGTGTTTTGACATTTTGTACGGTCACTTCTCATAAAATTGTGGACATTTTCCATCGTATTATAATAACTAAAAAGACACTTAAGTGATATTATTTTATAACTAATTTGTCTTTTCTTTTGCCAGTTTCATTTTTACCACAAATAAGTAATACCAATATATCATGAATTCTCCACAACAACAAGCTGATGTTGTTATATGGCTATAGAGCATACAGAGGTGTCAGAATTGTTCAACAAACCAAATATCAACTGCAGACTTAGTCATGTAGACGAACCCGAACAAAAAACTTTTCAGTCCCCAGCGCCCAGTTTTCTGCATAGATGTAGATTTTTTTTAGTTTAATTGTGGAGCAGCTGACTGTGAAATTCATGAGATGTGATGGCGTCTTTGTGTCTCTGCAGGAACATGCTGGAGAGGTTCATCACTGATGAGCTGAGAGCAGCAGACAAATCCTTCTCCAAAAGTAAGATTTTCAAGTGAATGCCAGAGACAGATGTTTTTAATGGTGGTCGGCTGACTCGTCAATTTTGCTCTAACACTATTTCACAACAATCTAAGAAATTACTATGAGCTTTCAAAGTTTTACTCTGGTGTTTACCCAGAATATAACTTTGAAAGCTAGTTTGAAAGTTTTTGATTTTCTCCATCTGAGACAGACTGCCTTGCCTAATGTCCTTGACCTAAGTCTGTCCTCTGAAAAATCTCAAACTGTTATTTTTAGTCGGACATTACAAAAAGGATCTCTACACAGAAAGAGAGCTTTTTATTAAAGACAGAGAGAGGATGGAGAAAACTGGTAGATAAAAATCTTCACTGCAGCTACAACCCTGAACATCTGTTTATTTGTTTTTTGGTCTGAGAGAGTAAAGATTTCAAAACTAGGACACAGACTAAAAGACCTCACAGACTGAACACGGGGACTTTTGACAGCATCATAAAAACAGTAAATGTAGTTAAATATGAAGTCACTCTTCTGCATTTATTTGTACACATCCCCTATTTGTTGATCACATATTTCCACACATGTGTTTGTTCACAGCGATCGACTTCCAGCTGTTCCTGGGGTTTTACAGACGCCTCTTTGCTCAGTGCAGAAGTGTGGTAAGACTCTCTAAGTTTTGTTTTCTTCTTCACAAGTAGTTACATAAAGCAGAGTCCAACATTTGGATATGCTCATCCACGGTCCACGGTTCATCTGCTGCCCCCTCCACAGTCTGATCATGCCTGAATGTGTAAAAAAGGGGTTAAACAGCAGAAACCGGGAAGTATTTGAAATATGTAAAAATCTTCATGGTGAAAATTACGCCCGTCAGCCTCAGCAGCTCTTTTTATGATTAGCGAGGATGTGCATGTTTAGTCGACTTTACTAGTAAATGTTATTCTTGTTTGTCAGGACAAGAAAGTTCATCTAGTGATTGATAATTGAAAAGCTGGGCCTGAGTTGTGTCCCTTCAAGTTGTTGCCAGAGCTCTGTTTAATGTTTACTGCCATAATGCTATCATGCTCTACCACCCGGATATAAACAAGCACAGATGACAGATGTTGTCTCTCGCTGGTTTGATCCAGAAGATTGAGTTCAAGTTATTGGCTGTAGCTGCTTAAACTGGTTTATAATCACTCAACTGCATTTTATAAGTATAACCACGTAGATTTATGGATGTTACCCTGTGGGGAGGACTGAAGGCTGGTGGTGCTAGCTCTGCTAATGTTAGACACCCTCAGCAAATTTGTTTAAACTCGTTTACCCGTGTTTTGTCTGAGTGTTGTCTCACCCTAACTCCATGCCATCGAAAAATCTCTGTACAGGCCTTGAAAGTTTTTAAAAATGTAAACTTTTCCGCTGTGACGTCTGTATCCAGGTTGTTCAGGACGCAGATGTCAGTCAGCCGCAGAGTCTCATACCTGAGGACAAAATCAGCTCTCCGCCTGTCAGTAAGGTACGTCTGCTTTCACTTCTCATGTTCACTGCTGCTGCTGTCTAACAAAGGAACATCTTCAGGAAGTGGTTTTTATGGTATTTTAAACAGTCACTTTTTTTCAGCAGAGACTGTTGAAAATGTTTTCATGCTGCGATAAAAGAATGACTGAAATATCTGTATTCATAAGGGATTATTTATTATACTTACTTAATCTGCACAAAATTTCTCAGATTTTTTTTTAGTTTCAGTTTCATTTAAAACTCTTCAGCTTCAGTCATATTCACCATGATTTTTCAGGCTGTGAACATGTTTATTCCTGCTGTTAAATTGGGCATTTTAATGGGACTCTGGGGATTGACTCACTTTAGGACACAGCCTCAAGTGGACAATCTAGGAACTACAGTTTTTGGCATTTCAGCATCAGCCTTAAAGGTGGGGTAGGCAGGATCTGAGGAAGTGCCAGTTTTTGGGAGAAATCTTGAATGTAAACTCTACCCCTCCCAACCAGTTTTCCCCTCAGCTCCTCCTTTCCCCTCCCTCTCTGCTCCAGCAAGCCCCGCCCACAAACACGCTCCTGCTCGCTCGTATCGTTTCAATTAAATTCAGATATAATGCAGATAAATACTTCAGATCATTACAAATGGGGCCCAGTCAACGTGAAAGTAAAAAGTATTGGTGCTACTGTAGATGCCAACAGACTACCAGCAAACACAATGTTTGCAGGACTTTACAACTAGGATAAAGTGACATACTCCAGGACCCGAGGTAAACAGTTTAGCGGCGCTACAACACACAGCAGGTCCCGTTTGACAAGAAACACTTCTGTTACAGACACTTGGCTTACTTTGTTAAAGCGGTTTACCAGTCCAGCAGAAAGGTTACAGGGTCTGTAAGATCCCGAAATGTCCCCCATCGTTTCGCTTCATTGATGTTGACCCGGCTTTTTAGCTCTTGTCTGGTCTACATCCTTTTTAAGCGCCTGTTATTTCGCCAGAGTCTCCGGTGTTTACTTTGTTTTGTTGCTAATGTTGGCAGTCGTGGCCAACGGAGGATTCAGACTATTTTCCATACTTTCTGGTTGGTTTCTACTGTCCGATGTTGTAGCACGCTAACTTTGTTTGGGCTCTAGCAAGTTATTCGAGGATGTGGAGCGTGTCTCACAACACGAAAGAGCAGCATCTGCCTCACAACCAATCAGGCCGGGGAGGTGGAGAATGGTTTTGTTTACAGTCAGAAAGAGCGGGCCGCTCAAAAATGTTAAAATGTTGACAACACAGACATAACAAAACACAGTGTTTCTGTGATATTCTCAAATGTCATCAATAACTAATAGTTATTCACTGATATTAAAAGCTTTTTTGTATATACAGCACAAAAAAAAGATGCATCTTTAACAGATTCCTGCCTACCCCACCTTTAATCTGGGGGTTTCTGCTAGATTATAAAATCCTGAACTTTGATCTGAACTGGTTAACACTTTTAATAAGATACAGAGTATAAACTTAAGGATAAAACAAAGTTCCAGTTTGAGGTGTGTTGGAGCTTCATATCCAGCTGCAGTTGATGTCAGAGTCAGGTGTGCGTCAGGTGTGCAGCAGCTGATCCGTGTCCCTGTCGTGCACAGATCCCCAGATTTAAAGGCCAGAGTCACAGAGGACAGAGTCAGACAGCAGCCAAGGTAACAACATAAGGAGCAGCTCAACATTAGCTTCATGCTAACACTCACTGATGTCATCAAATCAGCACCTCTGCTTACTAACCCTGACATCTACATGTTTTACCTGTAAGACCAGGTTTTAGGATCCAGATCACTGAATACTAACCCCCTCAGTCTCTGCAGATCACAGACGTCCTGCTCTTTCATGCTGATATTTCATTTTCATGTGAAATCTTTGCTTAAAAAAAACCCGCCGGGAAACATAGAAGAATAAACAAGAAAGAATAGTTCTGTCATATTCATCATCATGTCCCTCCATCAGTTTCTGTAGTTTTAGCTTCGATATCAGGGTCTAAATATGCAAAAAAACATTTTCACACATTTCTTTTTTGACTACAGTTTAAAAGCCTCCACAGCTTTTAAATAACGACTGATTAAAATGGCTTGTTATCTATTTCAAATACAGTTTGCGCAAACTTCTTTAGCTCCTAACCAGGAACTTCACGGTAACTCCTCAGATCAGTCGTCATTTTTCATTTAATGCTGCTGTACTTCATAAAAGCTCTTTCAAAGTTTCTGCTTCAGTCGCTGATCTGAGTCGCCTGAGCACTGTGGAGTTTAAGGAATCAGCGTTTCCTCTTCAGATCTTAATCCTCACCTTTTTAACACCAGCTCGGATCAGGTTTCTGCCTCCTGATCCTGGTCTCCTCACGTCACGGAGGACTAAAGCTGTTTCTGTCCTGTTTTGTGCCCTTGATCAGGACTTGGAAAGTAAAGGAGACTCCAAACCTCGAGAGACGCCTGAGAAACGGGTCGCCACCTCAGGTTTCCAGAGGGACCGTCTGGACCTGGATCTGGAGGTGGAGGACGATCTTGACGAGGGGGATTCATTCTTTGATGACCCACTGCCCAAACCACAGAAGACCTACGGCTGGTGAGGACGCCTGACCTTTGACTTAAAATAGCCCGTATTGTTTTGATAAATGTCTGTTTCAAATGTGCTCCTGAAATCCTCTCACTGAGGTCACCGGCCTCACTGAGATTATTATTCTCCTGCTCTTTAATGTGGAAGCCCCGGCCTTAGATGTTCCCTCTCTCTCTCACTCTTTCTCACTCTCTGTCTCTCTCTCTGCTGCCTCATGTGTCGTAGCTCTCCCTTTGGAGAGAAGGACTCATCAGAGAGGACGAACAGTCAGAGAGAGTGAGTATCAAAGTGTGCTGGTCTCAGAGTTCAAAGATTTTTCAGCACTGAGAGGGTTCAAAGACCGGCTTTAGGATTAAGATCCATTTCTAAGCGCAGACAAAGATGTCTGTGATAATTATTCAAAGTATGAGGTAGCTTCTGTTAGGATTAAGATGTAAATTGATCAGCTTGTATTTTACACCATCCCAAATCATGAACAAAGTCAGCTGAGGACTCTTTGAATCAAAACCAGGTCTAGAAAACTCTTTATTTTGTTATTCACCCAAAATCAATCCTTCATAAACAAGACGAACTTCCTGAAAAGTTGTTATTTTTTTAACACTGTATGATGGAGCAGCTCTTAGATGAACAAACTAAGCGTCTTTATGTTTTTGTCAATAAGGAATAAAACATAAGGAGTGAGTTAAACAAACCAGTGGATGATAAATCATATCCTGAATACAGTACAACATGATATGATGCTAAACAGCACAATTCTTTAGTATATGATACAGTATGAAATAATAAATATCTTTACTCCCCAGCTGCCAGATTTCTTATTGACTCAAGTGCTGCATGTTTATCCCGCTCTACAGTCAGAGATGTTTTTTTTTTTCTCTCTTATTAGATCATGGTTCGAATAAAAGTAGTAAAAATCCCTCCTCAGATCAGAGATCTGCTGTGACAAACTTCCTGTTCAGTTTGTTGTTTTTTATCCTGCTTTAGTCCCTCACTCTTCCTCTCCTCTTCCTTTCCTTTCTGCTCCCTTTTTCGTTGTTTCGCAGTGATGCTCAGGATGAACCAAACACACTCAGAGTAACTGATTCGGTAACAGTCACAGGTTTCTCCTTCAGTATAAGATTATTAAAAGAGGTGTGGTGCATCCTGTACGTCCCTCTGAGCACGTCTTACCTGTCCCCTGAATTCTCTGCTTTTCTTATGTCCTTGTATCTGTATTGTGTCCTCTCCTTGTCTCCTTGCACCCTGCCTTCCTTTCGTCACCTATCCTCCTCACCCGTGACCGCCCCCTCCTCACCCTGCAGTGTTGTCCCTCTGAGGGAGGAGTGTCTCTCTGGGCCCATCGTGTCCCCCATGAGGCGAGGCAGAAGCCTCAGCGAGTGAGTGTGCACGCTCTCCATGTCCACTCTCCACTCCACGAACCGACGTTTAGTGACTCCGAGAGATGAAATGTGTTTGTTCATGTCTTTATTGTTGGAGTTTGAACTGTTTTACTCACAAGTACAGCTGATGATTCCAGAGAATAAATCTGTGAAATTTTTCACTCTTATATTCCTCTACAGTGGCGAGAGTAATATCTATTTTTAACCCTGAATAATTACTGTATTTTACATCACCGCTGGAGTATTTGGCTTCATTTAGAAAGGTTTTCTTGTGGGGGGAAAGTAGACCAGACAGAGCCCGAGGTATAGAAATCCAAGTTCAGTGTTTCCCCTCAGGTCAGACCCACTTTGAGCTAAAATCAGAGTTTTAATTTAAGAGATGAATCACAGCTTTTTAATGAACTTCACCTCATACTTTAAAGGCATATTCTTGCGTAAAATTAATTAAGGGTCAAACACACCGTAACACCGAGTTAGACACCCCCTCGAGAGATGAATGTTGCAGACCGCTTGCTTCCCTAGTTTCACCAACTTTAGTAACAACCGCATATAGCAATACACAGCGGTCTGAGGAGCCATAAACAAACCTCAACCAAAACGCCACTCTATAGCCACAAATAATGCTCAGAACAGCACCTAACTTCATCAACAGGACATACAGGGTCCTAGCCTTAGTACTAGCCACCAAACATCTTTTTAACTCAAAGAGACTAAACACAACTCACCTACTTGTTTGTAGTGAGACCTCAGGCCAATCCATTACAGACTGCTGCGGGGTGACACAGCTCAAGGAAGAACATTTATAATCATTTCTTTATCATTTCCTTTTAGTCATAATCATGATATTAATCATTTTGCACTGCAGACGTGGTTGTTCTTCTGCCTTAGCGTCTCGGTCTGATTGCATTTCCATAAAGTAATGATCATAAATGTTCTTCCTTGAGCTTTGTCACCCCGCAGCAGTCTGTAATGGACTGGTCTGAGGTATCGCTGCTGGAAGAGAGTAGGTGAGTTGTGTTTAGCCTCTTTGCTGAAGAAATCAGGCAAAGTTAAAAAGATGTTTGGTGGCTAGTGCTATGGCTGGGACCCTATACGTACTGTTGATGAAGTTAGGTGCTGTTCTGAGCATTATTTGTGGCTATAGAGTGGCGTTTTGGTTGAGGTTTGTTTATGGCTCCTCAGACCGCTATGTATTGCTATCATGCAACATTCATCCCTTGAGGGGGTGTCTAACTCTGTGTTACGGTGTGTTTGTCCCTAAATTAATTTTACGCCAGAATGTCCCTTTAAGGTATTCAGCCTTTTCTGTTCTGTGATTTAAAGCAGATTATTTCATGTTCATGCATGTCGCCCTGAACCACATCTGACGCTTGAGTTTGTTGTTGTTTTGTCTATGATGACTGACTCCGCTCATATAAGCACCACCTTCACTTCAGACCAGAGATAAGCATGTTTCAGCATCTGTAATGTGGCTGCTTGTCGTGTCCCAGCATGCACCAGTATCATGCTCATCCTTTTCAGACCAGTTCTCGCTCACCTACTTTGACCCTGGGATGTGTTCAGGAGTCTGAGCTGCTCTGCTGACCTCGATAGTGTAGCAGAGAGTGTTTGAGACGAGTGTAATCGTGGGAGAAACCCGGTCTCTGTGTCAGTGTGTGTGTCAGTGTGTGTCAGTATGAGTGTGCGTGGGCTGAAATCGAGTCAGATCTCACTTCATCAAACTTTAATGACCTCTGAGGACAAACTGAGCAGCCAGAGGCTCCAGGCTCCAAACAACAGGGAGCAAAAATAAACGACTAAACTGTCCTGAATATCACGTGAACCCTGAGTTTAGTCTGAAACGGATCAGATCACTTCTGCACGGCTGCTCGGTACTCTGTGTGATCTGGATTTCTGTCTTTGTGGGGACTGTCACACAGTGGAGAGGTCAAATTAAAGAGAGCACTTCTGATAAAAACCTGAGGACCTTTTACAAAGTCAGGAGGTTTCATACAAATTGAGGACTTTAAGAATAAACCCTGAAAATGAGTACGTTTGATGTGGTGTGAGGATGGTAAACGTGATGAAGTTTTATAGTAACAGCGATGAAGACTGTCTTTCACCTTCTGTCTCTCTCTTGTCCCCCTCCTCCTCTCTGTGGTGTCAGTCTGTCTGTCCTGGCTGCTGACTCAGAGGGCGAGCGAGATGATCCTCCCTCTGAACGCAGTCAAACCTCAGAGCTCAGGTGAGCTTCAGGTGCACCTCCCCCTCTCCTTTTCCTCCCCGTATCAGTCTCTGTATCGATATTATGAAGTGTTACTTAGTATCACGACTCAAGCAGGTTCATGCATCAATGTTTCTTTGTCTTTGTCCTCTATCCTTTCTGACTCTGTGCTGTTATTTTTTTTTCCAGGAAAGTGGAGGCATCCGGGGCCAGAGAGAGTCCGGTAGGGTCCCTGTCGGAGGGTCCAAAACCAGGAGGAGGAGGAGGAGGAGGAGGAGGAGGAGAAGGAGGAGGAGGAGGAAGTAGCGTGTCTGAGCAAAGCCACAGCAAGAATGGTGAGAGTTCAACCAACATGTGGATAATCTGACATCCTGAGAGTCTGACTGTAAAATCAAATGAACCAAAGCAGTGACGTCTTCACACAGAGTTTATTCAGAAGTTTTATGTTTTATTTCAGGAGCGTCAAACTCCAGAGAACGAGGATTCAAAGACTCAAAGGCTCTGAACGATAAAACTGGATCTCTACATTTAGGTAACATTCAAATCCTCTCACATTAACGATCACATTTTATTCCTTCAAGCCTCTTCTATTCAATGTTGTATAGATTTATTGAAGATAAGTTCAAGATTTGGTAAAAGTTCCTGACTCTTTAATTTTCTGCTGCTTCTTAGATATAAACAAGTGTCATCTGCAAACGTTTAGATAATCTGATTTGTCTGTTTTGTGTTTTCACTTTCTTTTTGTTACTTTAAAACCCTCTTGAGCTCATAAACGATCAAAAGATCCTTGTTGTTGATTTGTTTTCACAAACTCTGACTCTTTTCTTTCACAGATGACGATGTAGAATATGACGATGACTTTAACAGGTAAGACTTAAACTTCTTTTAACAGCAGAAACTACTTGATAACGTGGCGTAGCATTGCATTTGTCAACAAGAGTTTGTTTTTCAACTGCAAGATTAATGCTGTAGTATGATTTATTTTTTGCAGGGCTAGTCCAGGCATGTAGAAATTCTGTAGTTTCATATATTTAGCAGCAGGTTTGAAGTCTTTGCAGGTTGATTTTATAAAAAATTGACAGAAACTGTCCTAAGTTTTGTTGAATTCTCTCTGTGTATTTTTCTGTTTTTGTTTCAGCCATCGATCAGATCTCTCCAAGAGTGAGATCAGTATTGGTGAAGAGATCGAGGAGGTCTCCATCGAGGGTCCAGAGAACAGCGATAAGGTGACAAGACCACCTGGTTCAGGTTTTACCTCTGCATACTGTCCCTTTAAATGTTGACATTAACTCTGACACTGCTGTTTGTTCTGCAGTTTGATGAGACCACACAAGACCTGAGCGTCTCTCAGCTCAGCCAGAGTCATGGAGCTGACTACATGGAGGAGGTGGCCTGACCTCCCAATCATCCCCCCCCCCCTTCCCATAATGCACCTCTTTGTATCGCCAATATTTAAGTCTGTACAGTCCAATCAGCAATAAATAAATAAATCCATTTGTTTTAAGAGGATGTTTGATGCTGAGTTATTTCATCGCTGACAGAAAACGTCTTGTCTTTAATCATAACTAACCCATTAGCTCTAAAGTTTGTTTGCCCAAAATGGATTTATCGCCATTAATGGCCGATTAGAGCCAATTGAGGATATACAAAATAGATAATTCATAATGGTTAATTACTGAGTAACTGCCTGTTATAGTGCCTCACTTTGTCAGTTTTATTGGCAGGGAAACCATTTCAACACAAAAGCACAGGAGCAAAACAAATAAAAATCATAGGTAATAACATTTAGAGATTTTGGAGAAACAGACACATTTTCTTTGTCCTTTTGTTTTTACTGTTATTATCATAATGATTTTATGATTAAATGATTTTTAAGTAATTTCTTTTAATGTTTTTTTGACCTCTGTGATGATTCTTCTGATGTCTGTGTTACTTTGAGTTGCCTTTTCCAAAAGTGCTAAAGAAATAAACCTGCCTTGCCTTGTTGTTATGCCCACCAGAAGGCAGCCCTATGAAGCTAGCAACTATCCACATTTTGACCCCTTTCAAATAACAGTTCACCATGAGATTTATTATAACAAAAGAGACATAATTACCGAAGATCAACTAAAGAACAAATTCACGAGACAACTAAACACAAAACCACAAACCACTGATGAGCGGCAGCAAGGCAGCAGTTAGCCACCAAATGCCTCCACCAACTGCAGACTGCTCCTTGGTTTTAAACCCTGTGGACCAGGAAAGGCTTATCGTCAATAACTGACTCTACTTTGGCAGAACTAAGGAGGACAAAAGGAGGACAAAAGGGGTAAAACACACCCCAACATATAGCCATAATACTTACCCCTTTTCTTATCATTTAACCTTAAGCCAACTTTAATGACTTGAAAAATCATGTTTTTGTTTCAAATTAGAAACATTGTCTTTGGATTGGCTTGTTGAGTCCCAAAGATGTGAGCACTACTAACAGTAGTACTCCTTCCACTAATTTTAGCCATAATTTTACCTGCATCAGGGATTAAATGTAATTTAAAACTGTGATGATTATACTGTATTTTCATTTGTGTTTTATTTTATTCTATTTTATTTTTCTAAAACTTGTACTGTATCTGTCTTCGTGGGGCTATGTAATGCCTACTGTATTTCTGTTTATGCCTATTTTGTATTTTTGGTTATTATTATTATTATTATTATTATTATTATTATTTATTTATTTATTTTATTTTCTCCTTTTGTGTGTGTGTGTGTAAGCCTATTACCTTTGGCGAAGGGAGTGCCGATGAAAATTAGCCTTTCAGCTAAACTCGGGTACATTTACTTTCTGCAAGGAAAGTTGATCAATGTACACTGTCCCTTTTTTAAAAAAATAAAGAATTTGAATTTGTTTAGCATTACTTTGCTCATTATTTCAGAACTAAACTTTAATCTATATTCATTTGGATATAATACCTAAAAATCATCACGACCTTACTACTTTAACTAGCTGTAGTACTCATCTGTCGTGGATGACACCCTCTTTATCATGTACCATTGCAATAGTGACAGGAGACGTCAGCGAAAGGCGTTGTATTCTAGAATCCTACTGCTAGATGTCCCTAAATATCCTTAGTCTATGGACCACACCCTTCTCTGATTGTTTGCTAGAGTAAGTTACACATTTATTATTCAGTATCTGTGATGATTACAAACCTTAATGTACATTTTTTTCTTTGTTCTTAAAAGATGAATTAAAAATAAAATTAGTTTGATTAAAAATGTTCAGGAAGTGTGAGACATAAAATGTGAATTAACTTCCTTGACAGCGAGAGACGGAGAGAGAAAGAGGGAGGGCTGAAAGGAGGTCTCTCTCTGTCTTTCTCTTTCTCTCTCTGTCCCTAACCCAAGCACACACACACACACGTTTCCCCTTTTTTTTCTAAGTGTGTGTTTGATGTCGTGCAGCTGCTGTATCATCACCATCACCTGAACGAGACACCAGCAGCACCGTTTCACCTCCAGCCAGTGAGTTTATTCTTCTTTCTACATGATATTTTTTATGCTTTTCCCTGTAAAATTTTAACTCTCTGTTCTAATTTCTCTCACCCTGATGACCACTTGTTACTTTCTCTCTCTCACTTGTCTATTTTCAGCTCATTCTGAGTTTCTGTTTCTTGCTGAGTTAAAAAAAAATAGTTTTTGAAGGTTAAATTTTGATAAAATGTTAAAAATTCAGTTGCAGAAAAATGTGGTTGTATAACTTTTTTGTTAATTCACACCAGCTGAATCTACTCTTGTGTCTCCTCTCTGACTCTGTCAGCCAACACACAAACAGATGATGTAATTTGTTCGATAACATCACTGTCAGCTTTTATGTTGTTTTATCTTGAAATCGACAGGATGTAAAGTCTGAGCAGATGATGTATTCCTCAAAAGAAAACAAAATCAGACTCTCTCTAGGGCACAGAGCATTTGATTCACAGCATGATACAAAGACAAAAACAAAGAAAGACAGATTTATTAAATAAAAGCTTGATAAGGATTTATAAGGAGGACAAAGTTCACCTGAATTCTTCCAGTAAGTTCCTCTGTGTGTAAACAAACCAGAGACTAATAAATGTTTTTATTGAAATGGACTCAGAAGGCAAAGATGACCGGCAGTAAAATACATTCATACAAGTCAGCTAACCCAGGGGAGATTTCTTAAATCAGATCGAATCTCAAGGGTTCCTGCAGGCCTTTGAAAGGTCTTAAAAGTCTTAAATCAGATCTTAAGGTAATAAAAGTTGTATTTTTGCTTAAAAGAGGTGTTGGATTTTATGGTGTCCTACATGTCTGAATAATTAATCAAATCAAAAGAGGAAAATATAAACTCTCATGTAACACTTTGTGTTCAAATATCGAAGCTGTAAACTAAAAAAAAAAACAGATAAAAGGGAAGAAAAGCAGGCTGTGCAAATTCAGGAAATTTTGCTTCAAATTGAAAAATACAGGGTGATGGATTGGACATGCAAACATCATTAGAACAATAGAAAGCTTCTAAACTTGGGCAAAGCTAAATGAGCAATGTTATTTGATCCATAATGCATAAACAGGTTTGATATTTGCTGTTCGAGCTTTAAAAAGGTGATAAAAAGTCTTAAGTTTGGTCTCCAAAAAGAGCAACAGTCCTTATATCGACGCACAGTTCGACCGTATCTTTCATTTCAGTTTGTCTGCCTCTTTTTTTAAGCATTTCTTTATTTTTACATGTTCAGAATAAATTCCAGACCAAATCAAATCAATGTGCTTCATGCAGACTAAAATGAACAAAAATCCCACAAAAAAAAAAAACTGATTGAACTGATTTAAATCATTTTTTTAACAGTCATGCGGAGCAGTTACTTTGCATTGAATGTTTTGTAATTTTTTGATCCAGAAATAAAAAAACTCCACAGTTTGTCTCTTAAAGGCTGCTGTAGAGGCTGTCTCATTGAGTTGATTTTACAATGGTTTAAAACAAAGAAAAGGACGGTGTCATTTTATTTAAGGAAGTCTAGTCAAGTGTATAAACCGCGGAAAGCTGACACAGCAGGTTTAACAAGTCCACCACAACAAGTCCCTTCACGTTCTTTCCACTGAAAAAGCTTACAGTCATTCACTTACTTTCATCCACAGACAACACACTCATAAACAAAAATGATCATGTGACTCTTTCGTTGAGAAAAGAAAACATTTTATTCTTGAGGAAAATTCTAATAATTCATCTTCACATCAAACAATAAAAAGAGATAAACCGAATAATACAGACTCAAACAAGCAGATCAAACTCAAACGGACAATTTCCTGTAAAAGCTGGAGCTTGTGCGACAAACATGAAGTGCTATAATTTCCACTTTGTTCAATTTCAGGTGACATTTGAAATACAGGAAGTCAGAGGAGGCAAACGTAGCTGCTGCTGTGCTTTCTGATGTTTCAGAATCTTGACTTATTGAGCCATTCTGCAACACCTCCTCTCAGTGCTGATAGCTTACATGCATCTTGTTGATAGAGTTTTACATTCACATACATGATCATATCATCTGCGTACATTTTAATCTCAGAGGAACTGCAGAAACCTGATTAAAGAGTTAACATTAGTGGCACCAGTAATGAGCCCTGAGGTACACTGTTATCCTTACTATGGAGTGATGATACCTTATTCTCCTCAACCCTTTGTTTTTTTCTTATATTGCACCAGTGTCACAGAGTTTGAGAAAAAATCCTCCATCACATTTCAGGTGAACTTGAAATACAGGAAGTCAGAGGGGACAAACTAAGCTGCTGTTGGCCCCTCTGATGTTTGCATCACGTTTAGCAAGCAGAAGTTCACAGCATGAACTCCTCCTGTTTGAGGAAGTTTGAGCTTTTATAGAAACCTATTTGTTTCTTTTCTGAGATCCATATTTTTCTGTAGAGAAGCAACAAACTGCTCTGTTTCCTCTCAGAGGTTTGAACATCAATAACTGAGGAGTGACTGTATGACTTGACATTTTTTATCCATCATCAGATGCAAGCAGAAGTAACAGATTGCGTCCTGTTTGGAGATGATGAATTTGACAGACAGTAGGAATCAGCCAGCATGAGCACAAATGCTTAACATCAAGAGAAACGTGCTGCAAACTGAGAAATACATCCAAGTTCCCCAAATTATCATGAAACGAACAAACAAAAACAGACTGCAAATAGCTCGAGTAATTGCATGATAGTTATTGTGCCCTTTAGGATCCTGGTTGTCTGAGTGGTTGATGTGAATGCAAACCTTTGAGGGCAGAAGAAACCACACATTACATATAAATTGGGTCAGTCGGTGTTTTCAGGCTCAACTGACCTGTTTTTTCTGCAGACTTCCTCTGAGTGTTCACACACCTGAGAACAAACACATTCAAATTTTCACCACCTCCATCGACCACAACTAGAGCACCCACCAGCAGAGCCAACTCTGCACCGCCTGTCACATGGATAATTAAATTCTGTGGCATTTCTGCTCAGGTTTCATATCTTCAGATTATCTCCTGTAGATTAATTTTTTGGGTTTTTACATCACACTGAAATGAGTCAAAGGAGTAATCATTCTTTTCCTCTGGGGGCTTTAAAGGAGGTTTCTGAAAGGATACTCTCAGTTTCATAGTTTAATTTACAGGAAAAAGCCTCAGCAAGACGCTGTGACGTAGTTTCTTCAAATATTAGCAAATCATTTTGAGCAACCCTGGTAATGCGAGGCTGTCGTCCTCAACAGACGTGTCTTCCCCCATTTCCCCCACTCTTTACCCTCACATTTCCTGTCTCTCTTCAGCTGTCCTCTCTAACAAAGACCAAAAAATACATAAATGAATAAATACAGTTGTTATTGAGTTTTACATTCACATACATGATTCTATCATCAGCATACACATCAATCTTAGAGACACTACAGACAGTTTGAAAACCTAATTTTTAAAGAACAAACAGAAGTGGCCCCGGATATGAGTTCTGAGGTACCCCGTTAACCTTACCATGGGCTTATGATCGATCATCTTTTACTTCAGCCCTCTGGACTTTGTCTCCAATACTGGACTGAATCAGTGTCATTGAATCAGAGAGAAATCAACCGTTATGAAATGAGGGTGATTGTTTCTATGGCACATCATGTTTGATGCATCTTTAAAGTGTAGCTGATACAAAATAGCTTGTCAGATGAAATAGAGGATATTTACATAAAAACAGTTCTGGAAAATGTAAGAACAAATGAAAACTTTTAGTAAGAGGCATCTTAATTACTTCCCAACTTTTCATTTCTATGATGCAATCTATGATTGATTGTATCAAAAAGATGCAGTATTAGCATTTAACTACAGGATGACTCATCATATTTGATCACAGATTAATATTTCTCTGGTCTGTTTTTGTCTAGGAGATGATGGAGAGCCAAGAAGACTATAACCAGACAAACACGTATTCTGATTATGAATACAGTAATATCTCATCTAATTGGTCTGAACCTTGTCCTGAGCACAACAACAACAACATTGAGCTCGTGATTAGCTTCATCATCTGCATCCTGGGATTTATAGGAAACAGCCTGGTGATCGTCACCTATGCCTGCTACAAGAGGACCAAATCGATGACTGATGTCTACCTGCTGAACGTGGCCATCGCAGACCTACTGTTTGTGGTGTTGCTGCCTCTTACTGTGCACAACGAGCTAACATCCTGGCCCATGGGGCCAGTGGCCTGCAAGCTGCTGCGTGGCTCCTACAGTGTAAATCTGTACAGCTGCATGCTGCTGCTCGCCTGCATCAGCACAGACCGTTACATTGCCATCGTCCAGGCTCGCCGCAGCTTTAGACTGCGCTCACTGCAGTACAGCCGAATTATCAGCTCCATCGTCTGGGTTTCTGCCATACTGCTGTCCATCCCTACCTTCATGTTCTATGAGTGGTACAAGCCAACCCATACTGAGATTATTTTCGTTGACCAAGAGGACCCAGAGGAGGAGAGTCCTGAAGAAGAGTCTCAGTATGTCTGTGAGTTCAAGTTTGGTGACAGCACCACAGCACAGACAACTAGGGTTGCCATCCCCAGCATCCAGCTGGCTATAGGCTTCTTCCTGCCGATGCTCATCATGGTCTTCTGCTACTCCGCTGTCATCATCACTTTGATGAAAGCCAAAAACTTCCAGAGGCACAAAGCAGTGCGGGTGGTGCTGGTTGTTGTGGTGGTGTTCATCATCTGTCACCTACCGTACAACATCACACTGCTCTATGACACCGTCAACATGTTTCATGAACAGTCCTGTGAAAGTGTGTACACCCTGCTTCAAACCCAGACAGTGACAAAGACCATCGCCTACATGCACTGCTGCCTGAACCCGGTCTTGTATGCCTTTGTGGGGGTGAAGTTCAGGAACCATTTAAAGAAGATCTTCCAGGACTTGTGGTGTCTAGGGAAGAGATACATTGCCCCACGCCGCTTCTCCAGAACCACCTCAGAAATGTTTGTGTCCACCCGCCGCTCTATGGACGGATCAAGCGAGAACGGCTCATCTTTCACCATGTGAGGACAATGACCAGAATCTTCATTTGTGTGCAGTTGACCACAACCTTAGTGCCAAACTTAAGAACTCTGACTATGAGCTTGAGGCTTGCTGGTGTCTAGTTTGTAAATCTTTTTGTATCTTGTCTGGACATCCAGAGATAAATCTCAGCTGCCTTTGGACAGTGTGAAACATCTGCATCTGTTATGTTCTTTCTATTTTTGATTATATTGGATAATACTGCAGAGCTGCCTTACCTGTCAGTTATGTTAAAATCTGTTCATGCATCTCAAAATTGCATCCCAGCCATGTCCTGTTACCGCAGGTGTTCCCCAGGGTTCTGTTATGGGGCCTCTTTTGTTCCTCATCGAAGTACTCTTTCTTTGCTATACCCTCCATAAATTTAACATTTTTATTGCAGATGACACCAAGCTCTACCTATCCACCTCCCTCTCCAATTGTCTACATGGAATCAAATTCTGGTTTCCATGTAATTTACTCTGACTTATTAGTGAAAAAAACAAGGTTCTCCACATTGGCATCAAGTCTGCTACAACAAAATTCAATAATTTTTCCCACCATTGATAACTCCTCAGTTTCACTCTCTCATTGGGTTAGGAGTCCAGGTCACATCCATATATTTCATTTATGTACAGAGTTCGTTTGTTCGTTTTCTTCTGCTTATCCGGGTCCGCGTCGCCGGGGCAGCAGCTTCAGAAGGGAAGCCCAGATGGCCCTCACCCCAGCCACTTCCACCAACTTCTTCGGGGGGATTCTCAGGCGCTCCCATGCCAGGCTCGAAATATAATCCCTCCACCTGGTCCTGGGCCGGCCACGAGGTCTCCTACCGGTGGGGCATGTCCAGAACATCTCTACCAGGAGGCGTCCAGAAGGCATCCTAACTAGATGCCAGAGCCACCTCAGCTGACTCCTCTCAATGTGGAGGAGCAGCGACTCTACTGTGAGTGAGTGCCTCCCTAGTGTCCGAGCTCCTTACTCTATCTCTAAGGCTGAGCCCGGCCACCCTGCGGAGGAAACCTGTTTCGGCCGCTTGTATCCGAGATCTTGTTTTTTTCGGTCATTACCCAAAGTTCATGACCACAGGTGAGGGTCGACACATAGATCGACCGGTGAATCGAGAGTCTCGCCTTGCGGCTCAGCTCTTTCTTCACCACGACAGATTGGTTAAGCGTCCCCATCACTGCCGATGCCGCTCCGATCCGCCTATCGATCTCCCGCTCCATCCTACCCTGTGAACAAGATCCCGAGAGTATGTATGTAAGTAGTTCAAGTATGTACAGAATATGTAACATTATCCCCATCCCTCACACCCAACAGTATCACCACTCTTGCTTACATCCTGGTGAAATCCTGCACTCGTAAGTGTAAATCCCTTTCCTTGGTCTACTTCTTAAGTCAGTCCACAGACATCAACTGGTCCATCATCACCACAAGTCCCTCCGTGGATCACATGACTCCTGTCCTTTGGCAGCTTCATCTGCTCCAAATTAAATACTGCATTGACTTCAGAAGTCTGCTGCAGAGAGAGGGTTTAGTGAAAACTTGTCTGTTAATCCTGAGCTGAGTGACATTCTGGGTTTTCTGTGTCAGAGAAGAAGGTCACTGAAACCTGGTAAAGAAGGGTAACTCAAGCTGTTCCTGAAAGAGAGGTAACTGAAGCTTTGAGTCATTTATGTTATGATAACTGAGTCTGTAGACCAAACGTCATCGTGAGCAGGTTTTCTTCAGTGAACTCAGAGTTTCTCCCTCTTTTCTCCCTCTTTCATGAAGTCTGTGTTACATGTACATTTACAGAGATTTGACGCTTGACTGACAAAAAATGTGGCTGTTTTGGTGTAGTTGGTTTGACGTACAAGCCTTTATGCAACACATCCTCTCCACCATGACATATCCTTTTGTTACAATAAAAAAGAGGTTATTTTATAATCTGTGCTCACAGTTAGAGGGTCTGGGGGTTCAGATAACATTTGCATACAAATATGTAAACAAAGCTCACAGATTGGACTTGAAATCTGAGTGCACAATCCCTGTTTCCAAGGATTTTAAATTTCGTTGATTGCATTAATCCTTTTCATTACACTCTGAATGTAACTGTGAGGGTTTTGAAATACACTTGAACTGAGAAGAATACATCAGTCCATGTCTGACATGCTGGAGGCTCACAGCTGAAGAGTCCTGCGTCAGAGAGCCAATCATCACAGAGTAAACTTCAACTGTTATTTGCGGTTCAACAATCTGACTGTAGGGCCACCTGCTGGTCCAGCTTTGAAATTCTGCAACTTTGCGTTCCTCTGGTGTATTTGTGGTCCTGTGAAGAAGGGTGTAATGTAGATAGGTATAGAAAACACACTGTAAAATGTAAGTATACCCAAATATACACCTGAAAAAATAGAGGAGGTGAAAATCTGAAGAAGGTTTGGGCCTGACTTTTGCACTCTGGTCATGTCCTGTTGAATCTACACTTTAGTTCGTCAGGTTTTCAGCCCCTGAATGTGAGGCCTTTTCTTCAATTTAACTTTGTGTTCAGCTCTTTTCTGTTTTAAACTCTTCACCTTTATGGTTTAAACTCAATCAGATCATTTCTCAGGATTAAAACTGAAACTTCCTACCTGCTGACAGATTTTTTTTCTTTCTCTGCGCAGAGTTGACGGCGTCTGAGGATCAGCCGGTCAGCTTTGGATTAAAGTCACATTTATGACAGACTAAACTCCGTGTAACCTCCTCTAAGGATTCAGACATTTTCACTTTAAAACCTTCAGACTGTGCAGATTATTTTCAAGATGTCTGCTGCTCTTAATTTCCTCTATACTCTGTACTTGTTATGTAGTTGAGCCATGTGTTATTCTTTCATTGTGACAAGTTTACTGTGTTTGTTTTGGAACTACTGAATAAAATATCATTGCCACCTTTGACATTACAGTTGTACTTGAAATGTTTAATTTTAAAAGAAAATACACAAGTAATACACAAATACACAAGTAAATGGAAGGAGTTCTCAACAACTTTATTGCTTTTCAGACTAAACTTTCCCTGTATTTCTGCCTCTAAACACCAGATGGCACTCTCTTCAAATACAGTTTTCTTCACAGAGGTTCTCGCTCTTCAGCACTCTTAAGGGGAAACGAGTTCATTTCATGTAATCACCAAATTCTCTGTGCACACTTTTTGACCCCACTTGGGTCCACAACATCCCAAACTTAATAAATTCATGCTAAGATCGTTTTAGTAGATATGAAAAGATAAATTGGAGCTCCTGGATGTTTGTGTTCAGTTCATAAAATGTAAAAGTAAAAAAAGAAAGAAAGAAAGAAAAGTGCACTCTGGATAACCTTTTAGTATCTAAAATGTTTTTTTAAAAGTGCACTTCCAGGATTGATTAATGAAAACACTCTATTATATCTAAATCATAAAAGTATTGTTCACTGAATGCCCTTCCTAAAGGTATAAAAAGAAAGTCCCTCTTAAGTTTAAATATAAATACATATATCTAGAGGTGGGAATTGTGGAGTCAGCAAGACATCTCCATGCCATGTATTTGTTCTGCTCTGTCACTGAACCAGCTGCTTCCAATGAGCAGCCAGGAAGGTGAGCTCATTAGTGAAGGCACCTGGTTCAGTAACTGAGCAGAACAAATACATGGCATGGAGATGACTTGCTGACTCCACAATTCCCACCTCTGCATATATCAAAGGGCCCTCTAGATGCCTTCCAGCTTTTTCAGATGTCTGAATGCTCTTTTAGTATGTCTCAATGCCTTCTTAGTATTAAAAATATATTTGAAAATTCTTTTTTTGGATGTCTTACCACTATATAATATTTTAAAGTTTCTTTTGAATGCATTTCCAGTTTATAAAACACAAAAATGATGTTTACTGGATGCCCACAATGTTTAAAAAAAGCCCCCCTGGCTGCATTTTAGGTTTATAAGATAGCCCTGGATGCTCCCCCAGTGTCTGAGATATAATAACAGCCTTTAAAAGTTCTGCCAGTATATAAAAGTGCCGTCTGGATACTCTTCCATTGTAGAAAACTTAAGAAATGAGGTTCTGCATGGATTTGTTTCCAGTGCTAAGAACAAACAGAAAAGGACTCATTGTTGGTAAATTACAAAGTTCCTTCTGTATGCCCTTCCTGTGAAGATGAAATAAAAGTGCCCTCTGGATGCCCTTCTGGTGGGTAATATGTAAAAAAAATAGTGTCCTCTGTTTCTAGTATAAAAATATGAAAAGAGAGTCTTCTAGGTGCTCTACCAGATTGTACAGTATTTTAAAAATGCCCTCTGGATTTTCTTCCAGTCAAAAATCATGAATTTAGCTCTTTGGAAACCCTTACAGTGTATCAACCCTAAAATGAGATGAGCCAGGAAAGCTGAGAGCTTATAAAATAGTCTTCATTGTGCTGCTAGAGAGGATTTTCATTAGTCTCAACTCTCTGGAGGTGTATCCTTTATCCCCCCTGCCCTTTAAACAGCCTGAGTACACCACTGATTTACATAAAGAGACATAGAAGTGTGTTTCTCAGCTCCCCTGTGTCTTTAAGAGTTATACCTGCAGTCAATAAAAGTTTCTGCCATCAGGCTGTAAACGTCAATGATGTGCTGTAAACTTGAGATGATAATCTTGCTTCTTGTTCCTCGCAGACTTCCGCATAGTGTGATTTGACTTTGAGAGTTAGGAGCAAATAGAAACAGAGTTTATTTCAGATTTGCTGATTTGTCCTGATCATCGCACTGAGAGCTGCTGGATGTCTGACCTGACCTGTTCAGCAGGTTTACTTCAGTCTCTCACTTCAGGCGCCAAGATTTGACCCCGTTTTCAAGGTAAAGCGACAGAATTTGTTGATTCCTCCTTTTTTTTTTCTTTCTTTCTTTTTTTTTCTTGTTGTGAGAAATATCGTGAAGTTGATTCCACTCGTGTGTCTTTATAAGCTTAGCTGAAAACATTACAGAAAAACGCATGTCTCTGTCAGAGTGGCGCTAAAGCTCAAGAGCTGTTATCATTTTTAATGCCTGTTCTACTTGGACCAAATCCAGAGACAGAGAAAAAACATCACCTGGTTCAGCTGGTGAATTAAGGTCATGATATCGTCTGTTTCCATGCTAAACCACAAAGGAAAACAGAAACACGCATTCAAATATAGAAATATAAAAATGAAAACTTCTACCTGAGCCATGACTGTTCATGTGATCTGGAGTTTTTCTGTTCTGTTTCTTCTTGGTTGCACTCACAGATGAATCCCTTTGTGTTCTCTGATGTTTTAATTTAGTGTAAATCTTTGTGCAGTGAATGTGTCAGTGTAGCCTCTGCCTCTGACTCGTGTTTCTGCTTCTTTATTACAGAAGAAGATGATCATGGAAATCAAAGAGAACGGGATGCTGAACGAGTCAGAGTACTATGAATATGGATCAAATCTTGACTTGGACATGATTGACGGTTGTTCTCCCCCTAACTCTGAGGATGTTGACTTGATTCTTTACATGGTTGCCTTCATCCTGGGCTTTGCAGGAAACAGTGTTGTGATCATTGCATACTTCTTCTACAAGACGACCAAATCCATGTCTGACATCTACCTGCTCAACGTCGCCTTCGCAGACCTGCTGTTCTCTATGGCGCTGCCTCTCATCGTGTACAACGAACTGACTTCCTGGTTCATGGGGTCGCTGGCTTGCAAAATGCTGCGCAGTTCCTACACCATCAATTTTTACGGCGGCATGCTTCTGCTCGCCTGCATCAGTGGCGACCGCTACATTGTCATCGTCCAAGCTCACCGCAGCACCAGACCACGCTCGCCACAGCAAATCCACCTCATCTGCGGCATCGTCTGGGTCACCACCTTTCTGCTGTCAGTCCCCACCTTTATTTATTCCAGCTGGTATGAACAGTCTGACGGGGACTTCATGAATGGGATCTTTGACTTTGGACCTCCTCACTACGTCTGTGAAGACCGACTAATGGAGGACGCCACAGGTTTTAAAGCCATGAAGGACGTCTACAGCACCCAGCTGGCTGTGGGCTTCTTCCTCCCGCTGCTCATCATGGTCTTCTGTTTCTCCTTCATCATCCCCACCCTGATGGGAGCCAGAAACTTCCACCAGCACAAGGTTTCAATGGTGGTCCTGACAGTGGTAGTGCTGTTCATCACCTGCCACCTTCCATATAATGTCGTTCTGTTCTATGACACCATCCTGATGTCCGATCCGCTGACATGTGAAAGTTTTAAAACCTGGAAAACTACCAAGACAGTGACACAGACCATCGCCTACATGCACTGCTGCCTGAACCCGCTCCTGTACCTGATCATCTGGTTGATGTTCAGACAACGTCAGGAGGACTGTCCAGAACCTGTGGTGTCTGAGGAAGAGGGACATCACACCTCACCACTTCTTTGACCACCTCTGAGATAAAACTGTGGTGTATTTCCACCAAACGTTCTGGTAAAAGGATCCAAATAACTGATCTATGCTGTCCTGTTTTTTTGAGACCCTCATTGTTGGAGGACCAAGAGTACCGATCCAACCCCGAACTGCTTTTATTGAAAGAGGTGAATGGAGGGAGATTGTCCTGAATTATATCTCTCCTAACCTGAGTTTATCTGATCAATACATCATGACGTGGTAGGATAGATTCAAGCAAGATCAGAGTTTACTGTCCGAACTGTCCTGAACCAGTCCAGACCACTTGGTGGAAGCATTGCTCTCTGTTATGACTTCAGCAACATTGCTAATCTTTCCCCACATGAGGACATCTAGCAGGTTCATTCTATTAATCAGAGACTGCCTCCTGAACCAAAAGATCTCCAGAGCTTGTTTGGAACACAAGAGGGGTCTGAAGGGGCTGAGGTGATAAAAAGAGAGGATTTAGACGTGAAAAGAGGTCCTAAATATTCCCCTCTAGTATCCTTCTGGAGTTAAGTCTTGAAGAGCTCATATGAGAACAACAGACTAGATGTACCCCTTGTACCTCCAGAAGCAAAAGTATGAACAGATAAAACTGGACGATCCAGAGTCAAAGTGTCCTCATGTTTTTATTTGGTGTTGACCATCATCCTGCTGAAGATCCCAACAGTTATGATATCGCAGTTTGTGTTGGTGAGAGTTTGGTAACAACATCCTGCGGCGGTTTGTTTCTGCATCTCATTGAGGAAGGAAACAGTTTGTCAATGTGTCAGCAGCAGCAGCAGCAAAGGAGACTCTATTGATTTATACAAACTGCAGAGAGACTGAAGAGAATAAAAACCCTGAGTTACAATCGTTGTTTCTGCTGCGTCACAGCTTAATGCAGCTGCACAGAGTGAAATACAGCAAAATACAGATGGATCAGTGACATGTATGTACAAATTAGGAGAGGAAGTTTCTGATGTTTAATGCATGAAAGTATATGAGACAAATCAGAGTCTGACTAATCTCCTGAGGGGTTTGAAAACACCAGAAATGGACAATGTGGTCGGATTATCTTGGTTAATTAATTAATTTTTTAAGTTTTTTAATTATCATTATTGATATTTGAGTTGCAGGTTCAAATGTGTACAGTGACGCTCCTCTACAGTCTGTGATTTAACTTTCCATCAGCTTCCAAACATATTAATAAATCAGTCACATATGGAGTCCAGCCTGAAGGCACACAGACCCGCAAACTATAGGTTATTATGTCAGTGTGTGTGCGTGTGTGTGCGTGTGTGTGTGTGTGTGTGTGTGTGTGTGTGTGTGTGTGTGTGTGTGTGTGTGTGTGTGTGTGTGTGTGTGTGTGTGTGTGTGTTGGCTCACAGTTTTTCTCTGTCACATTGCAGATGAAATATGAATGAGGTTGTTCTCTGATCATGATTTAACTCTCCATCTTGTTAAGACTGAAACACTGCGGCTCTGTTAAACTCGGACAGCAGCCTCTGGTCTTATAAAGCCGCTGTGGATATGACGAGTTAAAAAGTGCAGTTTCCTGACTGTCCACTTGGGGCTGGCTTCAAAAGCCACAGAGGTCACATACACACCAGTTGAAAAAGCCAAAAAGATAAATGTGTTTATAGTAGGGTGACCATACGTCCTCTTGTACCCGGATATGTCCTCTTTTTGGGGGGGGCTGTCCAGGCTGTCCAGCTTTGTCTGGAGAAGTGTATAAAATTTTTCAAATGTCCACGGTTTTGTACGAAACTTTCGAGTTTGTGTCATGTGGACTTACTGAGTTAGAAGCGCATAAAAGACACTTGATCCGACCCAAAAAACTCTCTGAGACTCCACCCTCACTTAGTCGTGTCCTCTTTTTGGGAAGTCAGAATATGGTCACCCTAGTTTACAGCCAGGTCTGCATATCTGAGTCCTCTCTCCATAAACACTCTTTCTTCTTTTAATGACTCGGCAGTTTTCAGGATACAGAGGTTTGGGGTTTTGCAGCATCAGAGGTACAACTGACTTGACTTATAGGCAGGACACTGTAGCTGTTAGTGAAGGGCTAAAGGCCTGCTACGTCTTCACCTCTTCCTCTCTTCAGGTCAGCTTAAAGTTAGTTTGATCAGCATTTCTAATACAGTGACCTTAGTTGATTGGCTGAAATTGGCTGAAATCCACCTTGTAGCTGTTTATTGTGCAGCAGTTGTAAGGACATGCTGGGACTTCGGCACTAAAGTTGCTGCTTAGTCACAGTCAGATCACGAAATCCTGATTTCTTGGTACTTTCCAGTTCCTCTGCCTTTGTTTCAGTCCACAAAACCCAAAGTTTCTAAAAACTATGGATCTATTTTGTTTCTGAATGCCGGCTGCTACACCCCAGCTTACCAAAACATTATCTGAAACAAGTGAACTTGCTTTGCACCACACCCCTGTTCTTAATCTGTCTCTGACGTTTGCTCTCAAAAATCTCCACCTCAAACACTTCAGTTCTCATCATAAGTCCTTAAACTCCAGAATGGTTTGGTTGTTAAATCCCCACAGAGCTGATGTTGAAGTTCCTAAGCTCCAAATACTCAGTATAACGTCAGCTTTTGAACGTTCCTGATGACCTGTGCTCATTTTAGCTCCCAAACACCTCAAACTGTTTAGTGTACTCTGATGTACTCTGAAATATGATCCAGACTTCTATCCCGCTGGTTTTACTCGATCCTCACTCAGCTGTGTTTACTGACTCAGGTCATGGTCACATTTTCTTCTTCAGTACGTCACTCCTCCAGGATCTGTCCCGGGACATTTTTTTAATAAATCAGAGCTTTAGTTCAGTAAACTGTCTCTGTTTCTGTGTGTGCTGCAGCAGCAGAAATCTCTCTCTCCAGCCTCAGCAGACAGAGCCTGTCCTCCTTTAACATCCTGTTCCTGCAGAATCAAATCAAACCGCACAAACACATTATCATCATCCGGAAAATTGATGTTCAGCGTTTACCAGCAGGGTGAGGTTTCTCTGCAGAACAGAGCTCTGGAAATCTGCTCAGGTCTCTTGAGGTCAGCTGATCCACAGTCAGATATTTCTCTTTAAGACAGGAAAACAGCAGCAGAGCTTTATGAGCTCAGTCTGCTTCTGAAAAACCATCCTCAGAAAGAAAACCATCAGCTATTTCAGCAAAGACAACATCTGGGTTTCATCGATGGTTTTGAGTCAGCATCACAGAGAGGTCAGCTGACGTAACAGAGTTAAAGGGGGTCAACGAGATGCCAGAGACCACCGCTAACGTCCTGTTTCCTGACAGCAACTATGATATTTTATAATTTTCAGGAAGTTTTCCTAATCTTAACTGCTAGATTGTTACAAAAACTGTCATCCTTCAACCTTTGATTAAAAAAAACCATCTTGATATAGATATTACATACTTTTACTGTTATTCTTGGCGCCGTTTAACTCTAGTTTAAGTCTGACACTGAGGCTGGGGTTGGGGTTGAGTGCTGGTTTGACTCCTGGCTATGACCCTTTTTCCTGCATGCCTTCACTCCCCCTTTTCTTCCCTGGTTTCCTGTCTCTCCTCAGCTGTCAGAAATGACTGTAAATCTATTATCAGCGTCAGCATTGCTGTTATAAGTCTCTTTTGTTCGCTCATTAGATGTTAGTCAAGATTTATACCTCTTAAAGAAAGTTTTTCCATCGGTGAACGCTGAACGAAAGTCAGGAAAAGTGATACTTGCAGAAAAACCATCTATAAAACAATGTCAAGCAGGTGTATGTGATTTAGGGGAGAGTGGGGTAAGTTGAGCCATTTTTCATATTTCAGATCACTACATCAAGGCAATCATAGTTTTGTCTATAACTAGTTTATCTGCATATATTTCAAGATGTTGTTCATCCCTGCAAACCAACAGAATGAGTGTTAACATAACTGTCTTGATAATATAGCGTGCCAAAAGAAAGTGGTTTCCTATGGTCAACTTACCCCGTGTATGGGGTAAGTTGACCCCAAATGGCCAAATGGCTAAAGTTACCTCTGAACTACTATTATGACTCTATCAGTCCTCTTGGCTAAAATGGTGGACTTTGATGCTAGGTTTTTGACCTCATGTTGTAGCACATGGATACAACAATTGTTGTATAAAACAAATTTAAAATGATCTTTTTCGGTCTGAACACAATTCTAATAAAACTTATGACAGACTAAATTCACTTTCAAGAGTGAAAAATGTTTTTTTTTTTGTAAATAAATGGCGAACCCCTTCACCCATGTGCTTCTAACCTTCACAGACTCCATGAATTGATGACCATCTCCTAAATAGTCAGTCACATGATCAATTTCTTTTACTATTTCCAAGCAACAGGGGGTGGCTCAACTTACCCCACTCTCCCCTATTATAGGATATGTGAGGCACAGACTCGACTCTCATGTTTTAATTATCCCTCACAGCCCTGTCATGATTTAATCAGAGAACTCGGTTAAAGGGAACTGTGAGAAAAACTGAGCTGTAAACTTTGTTTATTTGTTCTCCATGACCTCTGTGCTGCAGACGCTGAAGTTGACAGTGAGATGAAGACGCCTCAGTTTGACCTTCAGACTGAACAGATGGACTCAGCAGGACCTGCTGGGTTAGTGTGATGTGTTCAGGGACCCTCTCTGCTCCGTAATGAGGGACTGTGTGTGGAGCTGCAGAGTCAGCAGGCTGTCAAAAAGTGCTGCAGCATCTCTGAAACAGTCTCTTCACAAACACACTCTGTGGAGGGTCTGTTTGTGTGAACTATGAAAATTCTGGATCACGTCTGAGGAGGAGAAACAGGATTATACAAGGAACATGTGAGTCCTCTGCAGCCACAGGATGAGGAGGCACTTAGCTCTGTGCTGTCAAAATAAAAGCCTTGTTAAACATCATCTTTTCAGCAAAAATGACACTTTCTAGTTTGATGTAATGAGGCAGATTGGATTTAATGAGGTCATAGAAAAACATTCACAGTCACATGACAAACATATTACTCAGGCTGTTAGATATTTCAAACATTAGATAAATTAACCCTTTAAGAGTCACAAACAAGATGTCAAGAGTTGACTTTGGTTTTTAATCATCACATTAAATTACTTTTTTTTAGAGTGTTATTCAGAGCACGTTTCACTTCATTCTGCTGGATTAGATTAGGTTATACTGATCATTGAGAGTTATAATGCTGGGTTAGTTTGTTTAATGTACTGCAGTATAAATACAATAAATAGAATAATGTCTGTATGACCTTTGACCCTTTCTGTTCAACCAGGATGACCTCATGCTCTGAGCGTGTATGTTTTATCAGTTTGAAGAAGGTTGGGTGGGTGGGGTTTAAAATAAACCTGTAAATCTGAACTCAACAATGACTGTATGTTAACTCCACCCAGCTGCAAACAATCGCACCTCTTCATAAAGTCCAGGACTGAGTTTGTGATGTTAGACAGGAAAGGAGGGGAGTTCAGCTGCACAATGGGCCCAAGCCTAGGTTGTCAAAAATGAGGGTAGGTTGTTCAAAGTTTTAGGTGAGCACCCTGGGTAGCTGGGAATCTGGAGATTATGAAATCAGAGGCTGAGATGAAGGGCATAAAGTGTGTGTTAGTAAAGCAGAAGTGAGCAGGGACTGAATGAAAGGGCGGAGCTTTAATCCAACCCCATCAATAAATGTAACACAGGAAATACAGTCAATGATTTTAGACTGACCAACATATGTGCATTAAATTAATTATCAATGCTGGTTTATGATCAGGATCTTAAAGAGATATTCCGCTGTAAAATTAAGTTAGGGTCAAACACAACCTTAACACAGAGTTAGACATCCCGTCGAGAGATGAATGTTGCTGACCGCTTGCTTCTCTAGTTAAACCATTTTTAGCAACAACTGCATGATAGCAATACAGAGAGCTACGTGCTCAACCAAAACGCCACTCTATAGCCACAAATAATGCTCAGAACAGCACCTAACTGCATCAACAGTACATATAGGGTCCCAGCCATAGCACTAGCCACTAAACATCTTTTTAGCTTTGCCTGATTTCTTTAGACTAAACACAACTCTCCCTCTCTCTTCCAGCAGCCGTTTGTTTGTATGGAGACCTCCAGGCCAGTCCATTACAGAGTGCAGCGGGGTGACGCAGCTCAAGGAAGAACATTTGTGATGATTTCTTTATCATTTCCTTGAAGTAATAATACCCATATTAATCATTTTGCACTGCAGATGCGGTAGTTCTTCTGCCTTAGCGTCTCGGTCTGATTGCATTCCCATGAAGTACTGATCATAAATGTTCTTCCTTGAGCTGCGTCACCCCGCTGTAGTCTGTAATAGACTGGCCCGAGGTCTCCCTACAAACAAGCAGCTGCTGGAAGAGAGTAGGTGAGTTGTGTTTAGTCTCTTTGTTAAAGAAATCAGGCAAAGTTAAAAAGATGTTTGGTAGCTAGTACTATGGCTGGGACCCTATATGTACTGTTGATGAAGTTAGGTGCTGTTCTGAGCATTATTTGTGGCTATAGAGTGGCATTTTGGTTGAGTGCGTGGCTCCTGAGACTACTGTTTATATTGCTATCGTGCGGTCATTACTATAGTTGATAACACTAGAGAAGCAAGCGGTCGGACTCGGCAACATCATCTCTCGAGGGGGTGTCTAACTCTGTGTTACTGTGTGTTTGACCCTAACTTCAGTTTTACACTGGAATATCCCTTTAATCCAGGAGGACAAATCTGCAGCATGTTTAGACAGAAGGGCCCCTTCCTGTCCCCCTTTGGATACATCACTGCCCAGACAGTCTGAGACCTCAAACTTTTACATGTCCTACTATCAGGTGAATCACTTAGCGGCTCCAGAACTTTCTTGCAGACAGAGACCTAACTTAGGCCTTCAGTCTGGAAAAACTGCATCAAACACAGACATTCATCATTCCTGTCTCCAAGATTCAAAGCACAGACCTCCATCCTGCAGACGGGGAGATCTCATCTCCTCCTTTACTCAGGAACAGGAAAGAAAGTCCAGGAACAGAAAGGAAGGCACAGCTGAGGAAGAGGAGGGTAGATAAGAAGAGTTCAGTCCAGGTCCACATCTACGATTGTTAGTTCAGACTGAGGACAAAGGGCACCAGGGCTCCTCTGGCCTCTGAAGGGGAAGGCAGCACCTCCGGCAGGTAACCCTCCTGCTCTTCGCCCACCTCGAACTGCAGAGTCTGGCTCCGGTTCACGCAGTAGATCCGGTCTCCGAGAACTGCGCAGCGGAACGGGTGCGGGTTCTGGAGCGGGAAGAAGGCTCCTCCGTGCCACACCTTCACCACAGTGTTGTATTTGTACACGCTAACCCCCGCGCGCTGCCGGTCCACGTCGAAGCGGTACACGAGGCTGCGGTGCGCCACCATGTCCGTGGAGCGCCGGCGGCTCTCGTTGAACGGACACTCCTCCCACTCGTCCCGGCGGGAGTCGTAGCGCAGGAGGCGGTAGAATAGCGAGCCACCGGACACGAAGAGCTCACCGCCACACGATATCGCCTCGTGGGCCACCGCAAAGGAGCCTTTGGGCAGTGGAGCCACTGGAGTCCACCTGTCCGCGCGCGGGTCGTAGCGCTCCACCGTGAAGAGACACTCCCCCCCGATGGCGTACAGGAAGCCGTCCATGGAGACCAGCCTGAGCTGGCAGCGGGGCTGGCTGAGCGGGCGGACCGGGCTCCACAGGCCGGTCCGCGGGTTGAAGCAGAACACCTTATCCGAGGCTTTGGAGCGACCGTCCGCGTGCGCCCTCATCCCCCCCGCCACGAACAGGTAGTTATACAAGGTGCACATCCCGGAGCCTTTAGCCGGGACCTCCTCCGGCAGGTGAGTCAGCACCTCCCACCGCTGCCTCTCAGGGTGAAAGCAGAACACCTTGCGGGGGTGGGCGTCCTCCGGACCGGGCAGCTGCGGGCTCTGAGGCCGGCTGTTCTCCCGGCTCCCCCCGCGGTCCAGTACCTCACAGGTCTCCGCCACCGCCAGCACCCTCTCCCCCTCTGTCCTGCGGGCTAGGATGCGCTCCCTCTCCCCCGCGGTGAGCCGGCCGAACAGCCCGGGGGTCCGCAGCACCGTCAGGTAGTGGTCGCTCATGAAGCGGTAGATCCGCTCTTGGTCACCCTCTTGGCCGCTGCTCTTGGCTTTAGTCAGCAGCTCCAGGCAGTTCTCTGCGCTGATCTCTGGCGACATGTCTGCGGCTGATGAGTCGAGGTGTGGACACCCATTCCCGGAGGACTCATTCGCCTCCATGTGCTCCGGATTCATGTGGATCAGATCGATGAGGGTCCTGTCAGAGGAGATTAGACGTCTGGAGGTTCAGACTCTGTCTTTTCTCTTCACAATAAAACGCCCCTCACTCCTCCTCTCCTCCCTTTTCTCTCTGTTGCTTCAAGTTTTCTTCCTCTTCCCTACTCACACACCAGATCCGGATCTTGTGCTGCAAACGGATCCTCCTGGACCCCCATCCTCTGCTCCATCAGTGGGGCGCGGCGGCTGATGAAGGCGGGTCTCCTAACCTGCTGTCCGGGGAGGTTTTGTGTGTGTCCCCGCTGCAGAGCGCGGAGCTGTGTGCGGACACAAAGGCGGACTCTGGCCGCACACTGGGCTCTGTGTTCTCGGGTTGACGCCCCTCAGACTCAGAGGAACAATGAGTCTGTGCAGAACCACAGAGATGGTTCTCTGCAGAACCCCTTTGTGCCGCTGCAGGATGCAATAAAGAGCACGTGCAGCCCCACATGGAGAGAAAGAGAGGCTGTATTATCTCAGATGATTGTAATGAATATTTATGCTGTTTATTCTGCAGGGAGAATGTTAAACACAGACCTTTACTTCAGGGATAACAGCTCTCCGTTCTCGGCACTAAACGGTCCCTGATTTTATTTCACTATTTAAACAATAATTATAAAAGATTAAAATTAAAAACTGCCGTGATTCATTTTTAATGACTAAAAGTTTGATCCTTTAATGTTGAATCTTTTCAACTCCAGCTGTCAGACAGATGTTTGGACTTCACTGAGACATGATTGTAAAACAGAAATACTTTAAACAGATGTTCTTTAAAATGAAAGATTGAGTTTTACAGACCTTTTAAAGCTTTTAGGCCACTTTAAATCTAATCTGTAATACTGACTCAGTAATTTTGGGGGTAAAAGCCAAATAATGACAGTATCAGACCAACAAAAGATGGAATGTTCTTGTATTTTTATAGATCAAAAGGGTCTTTTGAATATTATTGAGCTTCAAAGTGTCCAACTGAAGATATAATTTTGATTTTACAAGTATATTTACAGTTTTCCTGATTTCAAATATGTGTACATTATTTGAGTGAATGATCAACACAATCCAGTTGAAGTTTTGACTATTTATCAACAGGAGCAAAGAAATGTGAATATTTCATAGAGAAGTTGATGAGAATTGAGTCTTGTTTCATTTATAGTTAGTATATTTTATCTCTGTCTTTGTGTGTGTGTGTGTGTGTGTGTGTGTGTGTGTGTGTGTGTGTGTGTGTGTGTGTGTGTGTGTGTGTGTGTGTAAGAGAGAGCATGATTTCTCTAGTGACTTTATTCATGCACTTTGTGTCAAACATTAAATAAAGTCTAGTTGGAAATTCAACCTTCAGACCAAAAACAGAACACAGAAACTTTTACTTTGGAAATTTCACATTTAACTTATGATTCTGAGAAAACAGAGACACTCAATATAAGAGATTTCATCAAATATCAGACCATGAAAAATTTATTCAAGACAGAACAGTTACAAATTAAACAGAGTTTTATATTCAACAGATGTGTAAAAACAGGCGGTGATAAAGTTTATAGATGAGTTCAGATTAGATTACAGTGACAATGTGAATGAGAAATAAGAGACTGTGATGTTTTAGATGTTTGAAGTCAAAGTCATGTAAAGGGTGTGGGGGGCTTTGATTTCCTGTAATATGGCTCTATCTAGTGGTTAAATTACACATTACAACTTTAAACTAGATGACTGTGAGGTAAACTGACAGGTAAGGAACCTACAGCTCAGTCTGTCTCAGACTGAGCTCACAATCTGAAAGAGACAGAAGAAAAAATCGTATTCACTGTTTGCATCGCCTTTTATACCCCTTGGCAGTACCTGTGTTGCTCTTACTGATCTTGTTTTCTCTTTTCTAGATCTTTGCTTGTGTAGTTCTTGTTCTCATATGAACATCACTTTGGATAGACGCATCTGCTAAATTACACTGTAACATTGTAAAACCATCAACAGATGGATATATTTGCGATACACAGATTTGTGTCTTTTCTTCTATCCACATTTTTTGTTCATGTTCAAGACAAATCAAATAGATAATACATGAATAATTACATGATAATGTTCAAGTAATTATTGAGTAATTTGTCAACAATATCAAAACTTTAATCAGGATGATTATCACTAAAATTTACGAAAGAGGACAAAAGTTCCCCCTAAATCTCAGGAGCTGAAACTGGCCCTCATTTTCAACCCATGCTCCAGAGTTCACATGCTGGGCTTAGATCCAGGAGGTACACAACATAAGCACAAAGATGAAGAAATATAGTTTTAAAAAGACCCAAGCATCAATTGGGTCTTTTTACATTTTTAGGTACAGAACTGTGAAAGCAACAGTGTGTATCTCCTCTCTATCGCGCTCTCATTTTGTCGATTGTTTTGGTATGTAACACGTTAGCCAGGAGATAACCAAATAGCATAATGCTTATAATTTGCTGATATAATGTTAAGACATTAAAACAAATTCTATACCCCTGAGCTGCTTTATATTTACAGGGAAAAGGTATAAATGTCACACAGTATCATATGTTTGACTGTGGAGATGTTGCTCTAAACAAGACTTCAACTTTTTTTAGTCAAAGAAACACTTTAATGAGATTCCAACCTTTAAAAAGGTAGATGTAGATAAGGATGAACAGTATTCCCTTCTTCAGTGAAGGTTGTAAAATGTAAAGAGTCTGATTCACCAGGAGAGGGCGCAGCAGAGCTGTGAAACAGAAAACACCAAACCCTCTTTAACCGTCAGTGTGGTAATAAAAACCCTGAATTCACCTCAACCTGAATTATATTTCTCATTTAACTGATTTAGTGAAAACAACAGAATACTTTTTTATTTTAGTTCCAGTGAGTTTTTAGAAGTTTATAAATAAAGTGAAATTCATATTCATGTCTGTGTTTGCGAATGTGTCCCACTGAAGGTAAACACAAGTGAACACAAAATGCAGTTTTTAAATGAAAGTTTTATTATTAAGGAAGGAAAAAAAATCTGAATTAAATGGACTGCCTCCCCCTGTTCAAACATAACTGGTTTATCACACCTGAGTTCAATGTAGCCACACCCAGGCCTGATTAATGTCACACCTGTTCTCAGTCAAGAAATCCATTACAAAACAACAAAAAAACATCAACAACAAAAAAGACCTGCAGACCTCACTTTCCTCAGTTAAAGTCAGTGTTCATGACTCCACCATAAGAGACTCTGGGCAAAAGCAGCCTGCATGACAGAGTCACAAGACGGAAACCACTGCTGAACAAAAGAACATTAAGGCTCGTCTCAATTTTGCCAGAGAACTGATTTTAAAAGTGTTCACGGCTGATTTTAAAACTTTCTAACCTACTGTGCATGTTATCAAAATATAAAAAACTGACCTCCAGAGAAAAGTTTTTGATTCCATTTAAACAAAACTTTATTTAAAAACAGAGTCAAGTTGACAAGTTTTACCAAACACAATCACGGTATTTCACTGTCTGAGAGTTATTGACTCAGACAAAATATGTGAAAAGTTAGTTATATGTGTAATACAAATGCAAAAAAACATGGAGCAGAGAGAGGAATAAAGCATGACAGAAAAATGAACAAAATAAAGACAAAGCAATATGAGCAAAATAGAATATGTGCATCCAAAAAGATGACATTTAAGACAAGCTTTGTGTACAGAGTGAGTTTGGTGGAGGTAGAGATGAAAAACCAGCTGGGGAAAAATATTGAAGGAAAAAAAACCCCAGTGGACAAAAAGCTCTCTACATGCTGTCACAGTTTCAGCCTCCATTTAACAAAGTTTAAGCCATAAATGAAGCTCAGATAAAACATTTAGTTTTACAAATACAATGAGAAATCAAATTCAGTACAAAACAAAAACCACCTGGTTACAATTGTAAGAAGACTCTACTAGCTGCAGATCTTACAGGTTTGCACCAAAGAAACTCAAATGTTAGCAAGTTTAACAACACATCATCTGGTCAAACAGATGAATAATTTATAATAGATTCATCAGTACAGAACTATCCTCTATGACCCTTGTGTCACAGACAGGTCATCCATCTTCATCACTGGGTCCTCAGTCGAGACTCGAGTATCCTCCTGTAAATGAAGAAAACTGTCATGAGTGAATATTCTGCCTCGTTTTCATTTAGTTTTCTATCAGTCAGAAAAGGTCTCAGTGATAATCCTATAATGTCAATAATACTGATAATGTCAGCGATATAAAGGTGGAGGAGATCTATAAAGTGACAGTGACATAGCAAAGCTTGCACTCTTCATGGGTTGTTGAGGTTTATCTGTGCCCATCGAGTAAAAACATCCAACTATCATAATCTTAACGGACTCATCTGTTAGAAGGATTTAAGAAAGCTGCTCATGTGTGCTCCTCAAAGTAGAGCCTGAAAGAGAAAGGCGCACTCACCATGTCCTGAGTAAGGGTTTTCTGGACGAGGCTGAAGGTCTACGGGCTCACAGTGAGACAGGAAGTCCGCCTGCAGGGTGGTGACTACAGAAGGCAGACAGGGATCAGATCCAGTTAGTGGACTGTTTACATCAATTTATCACCATAAAACTTTGACTGAAACAAGCAAGACCACTCGCAAAGATTGACTTACCTCCAATCAGGGGACCAAGTCTTTGTCTTCATTCTTCAGCCGGGTCCTGGAGCAAGAGGGGGTCATCGACGTCTCGGTGTAGTCCTAAAACAAAAGGACAAATTTATTCTTTAGACCGGCACAGTTTTTAACCTATAAGTGAATCATTATCTCTGTTTTATGTACCGGTTTCTCGGGGATGGTGCCCACGGCATCTGGTAGAGTCTGATGGTGTCCAGAGGCAGGTTTCTGTGCTGGTGCAGACTTCAGGGGGGTCCAGAATGAAGAAGATCCGTCCCTCAAAGTGGGAAAAGCACTGGTGTTTGGGAGAGATTAAAATTGGCAGAGGTTAGGAGGTTAGGGAATCTGGATGCATCAGATAAAACTGCTGTACCAGGTTTCTTTTGTAGGTGGTGGAATCTGTTCTCACCTGTAACCCAGTATGCAGGGGCTCAGAGTCCAGCAGGTGATGGGGTCTGCCAGGGTCTTCTTGGATGTAGACTCTGTAACAACATAAGATAGATTTTGGAGAAGCAGAAAGATGAATCACTAAATTGGAAATAGACTTAAAAGATTCAACAGATTTAAAATCAAGTTTCTCTTGAGCGTCTACAAACCCCCAGAAAAAGCTGGAGTGTTTGGACCTCGGTGAAAACAACTACAAGAACTTTGAAAAGTTTCTCAAAATAATTAAGAGAACTTCAGAAACCTTCAGCTTGACGTTGACTCTTAAAAACTTCCCAGTCTGGATGGAGGAGCAGCTCATCGAAGTGGGGCAGCATCAGATCCTCCCAGGACCTGGTGGTGGTCAACACATCCAACGCCACGGCTCGACACCTCCGTCATGTTTAGGGGAAAAGCAGAGACATACATGTGCAGCCAAAGGGAGGCATAAAAACCTCGTACAGAATAACAGGACACAAAAAACCATGACAAGTACAGATCTCAGATTTTCACAGAGACTGGAGGGTCAAAAAGAAACAAAACAAAAAGAAGAAAAAAAAACACAAAGAAAACAAACATCTCAGATTTTTACAGAGACTGGAGGGTCAAAAAGAAACAAAACAAAAAGAAGAAAAAAAAACACAGAAAACAAACATCTCAGATTTTTACAGAGACTGGAGGGTCAAAGAGACAGAATCAAACAAAAAAAAAAACAAACAAAAATACATTTTATGGTTACAGTTCATTGTCCCCCTCATTTTAGTTGAGGCTGTAGAGGAGACGGTGAGGCCTGAAGTTGTAGTTGATGTTGAGGTTGTCCTTGTTGAGTTGGTTTCCTTTTGGAGAACTGAGGGAACTTTGCTAATTTGTTGTTTCCTTAAGAGTTGCTGTTTTGCTTTTTGGATTTTGTTAGTTTTTTTTTACTGGTGGGCTCAGCAAGTATTTGGTAAAACTTGCAACTGACATTTTTGCAGGTTTTTGTGTCAACCAAGTTTCATGAAAACAGAAATAACCTTTTTAAAGTCATTAAACCCTTTTTTTAACCTTGAGTGATGCTGAACCATTCTCCGGTTGGTTGTGAATTTTCGTTTTTGGCTTGGTTTTTATTTTGTGTTTTTTGACTGTTGTTGTTATTGTTGTTGTTGTTGTTAAGCTTTTGAGTTAGAACCACATTTTGTACCTTGTTGGTGGTTTTCCCTTTTGTCATTGAGAGCACCATTTAAACCTTGTATTACCATTGTGTCCCTGAGGGCACCATTTAAACCTTGTTGATTTGCCCTTTTGTCATTGAAAGCACCATTTAAACCTTGTTGTTGGGTCATTGAAAGCACCATTTAAACCTTGTTTGTGTTACCATCATGTCCCTGAAAGAACCTCATGAACCTTGTTGTCTGTTTCCATATTGTCTTTGAAAGCATCGTTGTGAACCTTGTTGGTTTGTGGTTGTGTGGCTGAAAACACTTTTTAAACCTTGTTTTTGGTTTGATTGTTGTGTTTTTAATCGTTGCACCATGTGTTGTTGCATCTTTGGAAACACTGACCCAGCCTTACATGTTATCAACATCAAAACAGGCATAGATTGAGCTTAGGTGGGCCTTAACTTTGGGAAAACAGCTGAAGCACACCCACGTCACCTTGTGTCTTTTGTGAAAACGATTAATGATCAGAGAAAAGTTGTTTCTGGAGTTGAAATATTCAGACTTTTGGGTGACAATAGGACAGTGTGTTAAGTGGTGTTCCCTGTCTCATCTTACTTGCAGCACAAGGATGCCTGACTCCATCTATTTAGCAGTGATCTAGACCCTCCTGAAGACGTTGGTGGTTGCCATCTTCAACACTGAAGATGCTCACTTCTGTGATGGTTGGGGAAAAGGAGAGAGACACATACAAATGCAGAAAATACTCGACTTAAAAACAGTGAAGGTGAGGTGCAGCATTAGAAAATCTGTTTGAAACTGAATGTGGATGAAGTTATCAGAATGCAGGACCTGCTTTCTTACATGCTTTCTTGTGGTTACTTTGGTGAAAACATCAAAAAGTCAAAAAGTTCATCTTACCTTCAACAAGATGACCACCCTTGGATTTCCCAGACGGAACAGGAAGGCGACACTTTGAGTTTCTGCAGCAACAGTTCCTCCAGGAAAAGAGTGGTCACCTCGTCAGACCTGCTTATGTTCAGAGGAAAGCAGAGACATACATATGCACCCAAAGAAACATGGCCAAACATACAGCAAATAAGTTAAAAAAAAAAAAAAAAAAAAAAAAGTACAACACATGCAGATCATGACAAGCACAGTTTAAGGATTCCATTTCAGAGATTCAAAAGGTTCACAAAAATACAAATAAAAATAAGAAAAACTACAGTTTTAACAAAAACAGTTGGAGGATCTACACAGTTTGTTTATTGTCCTCTTTCTGTTTAGTGTTGACAGTTACATCTGATAGAAAAAATGTGCAAACGTTGCTGTCTTGTCGTTGTTTCCGTTGGATCCTTTGGAAGCACTTTGACGGTTGTTGCGATGTTGGTGGTTTTGAAACTTAGTTTTGGTTGACAGTGATTTTGCTGAAGTTGCTTTGACAGACCTTTGAGAGCAGACTTTTAACATACTGTCTTTGCTTGTTTAAGAACCAGTTTTTTAAGCACCTTTTAAACCTTGTATTTTGGGTTTAAGATCAAGGCCTTGGAAGCACCTTTTAAAACTTTTTAGGGGTTTGAGGTAAAGTATTTGAAAGCACCGTTTTGAGGCTTTTTTGGTTCGAGACTAAGGCTTTGAAAACACCTTAAAAAATTTTTTTGTTTAAAATCAAATCTTTGAAAGCACCTTTCAAACCTTTTGTTTGTTTGCGATCAATCCTTGAAAAGCAACTTTTGAGCCCTTTTTTGTTTGAGTACAAGTCTTTGAAAGTACCTTTTTTGAAGCCTTTTTTTTTTTTAGAACAAGTCTTTGGAAGAACCTTTTTAGAACCTTGTTTCTGGGTTTGAGATTAAGTCTTTTAAAGCACCTTTTAAGAACCTTGAACTTGGTTTGAGATCAAGTTTTTGAAAGCACCTTTTGAACCTATTTTGGTTTTTGGTTTGAGATCAAGATTTTTTAAGCACCTTTCAAACCTTTTTTTGGCTGGAGATCAAGTTTTTGATAAGCACCTTTTTTAAGAACCTTTTTTTTTTTTTTTAAATCATACCTTGAAAAGAACCTTCTGAACCATGTTTCTGGGTTTGAGAACAAGTCTTTGAAAGCACATTTTAAACCCTTATTGTTTGACAACAAGTCTTTGAAAGCACATTTTGAACCTTTTTTGTTTGAGAACAAGTCTTTGAAAGCACCTTTTGAACCATGTTTCTGGGTTTGAGATCACGTCTTTTAAAGCACCTTTTGGACCTTGTTTTTGGTTTGAGATCAAGTTTTTTAAAGCACCTTTTGGACCTTGTATTTGGTTTGAGATAAAGATTTTGAAAGCACCTTTTTTAAACCCTTTTGCCTAAGAACAAGTCTTTGAAAGCACATTTTAAAACCCTTTTGTTTGAGAACAAGTCTTTGAAAGCGCCTTTTGAACCTTTTTTGTTTGAGAACAAGTCTTTTGAAAGCACCTTTGGAACCATGTTTCTGGGTTTGAAATCACGTCTTTTTAAAACACCTTTTCAGAACCTTGTTTTTGGTTTGAGATCAAGTTTTTTAAAGCACCTTTTGGACCTTGTATTTGGTTTTCGATAAAGATTTTGAAAGCACCTTTCAAGCCTTTTTTGGTTTGAGATCAAGATTTTGAAAGCACCTTTCAAGCCTTTTTTTTGTTTGAGATCAAGTTTTTGAAAAGCACCTTTTTAGAATATTTTTTTCTGTTTTGAAATCATACCTTGGAAAGCACCTTCTGAACCATGTTTCTGAGTTTAAGAACAAGACCTTTAAAAGCACCTTTTTTAAATCATTTTGTCTGAGAACAAGTCTTTGGAAAGCAACCTTCTGAACCATGTTTCTGGGTTGAGAACAAGTCTTTGAATGCAACTTTGGAACCTTGTTTTTTGGTTTGAAATCAATTCTTTCAAAAGCACCTTGAGAACCTATTTCTGGGTTTGGATCAAGTCATGAAAAGCAACCTTTGAACCATGTTTCTGGATTTGAGATCAAGTTTTGGAAAACACCCCTCAAACCTCTGAGTTTGAAATCAAGATGATCACATCTAAAAACAAGGTCTACCCTCAGAGAGATGACTAACCTTACAGCGGAATCCATGTCAATGTTGTCACGGTGTTCTTGAAGTTCTCGTTGTCCTTCTTGTAGTTCCTCTGGATCTGTTGGTATTAATTCTTGAGGTTTTTGCAGTTTTAACATTAGCATGATCCTGATACGATGAAAGAATAGGAGTTTAACTGGACAAATCAATAAAGCACAGTCGAATACTGTGCACTTGACAAGTTTAGCTGGGTTCATTTTCAGCATAGTTATCCTTACAGTTTTGACAGCTGTTACTGCCACTGCATCAAAGTTAACATTACTGGTTTTTCGATTTCATGTCACTCCAGAGTAAAACAAACTTTTTATCATTAGGGTTTTTTTGGAGTGTGATCATCATATTGAAGTCAAATGTAAAAGGAAAAAAAAACAGACCCAGTCCTGTTCAGAGGTTTGGGCGTTGACACACCAGGTCCACATCAGGTCTTCTTCTACTCCTTTGGTTCTTCTGAATGGTCTTCTTGTTCTCCGTGATGGTGCTGCTGAGAAAAAGCTTTGATTGTTTGGTTTATGCCATTTTTGACTGAGTAGAGGCAATTTATTTTTAGGCTTGAAGGTGCTCTTGTTAGATTAGGTGCTTTTGTCAAACTAAAAAGG